ACTTTCCAAAATTACATGCAACGGCCGCTCAACCCTGCAGATGGCCCCGGTCGAGGCAAGTCAGTTGTTCCATCTTCGAACTGGTGCTTCCTCAGCTTCCAAAGAGTTTCCCCCCATCATCCCTCCCTGCTCTTTAGCACATGTGGACATCAGTGCATCGTCGCCATTGACACTGGCAACATGACAATGCAAAGCCTATTCACAGCCTATTCACCTGTCAAGTGATGCCAGGCAATCAAATATCTTTGCATGAATCTTTCCATACCTCGCCATCAGAAAAACAATCGGTGCGCTGTGCACTGTGTGGCTCCTTGTGCTTCACAGCCCTTTCCAGCTGTTGGATTTTGATCTTGCTCTGCCTCTCCTGCAGTTCCAACTTCCTCTTGAGCTGCTTCAACTCCCTCTTCCTGTCACGAACTGTCCCCTCAGATGCCCGCAGTAAGCACTCAAGATCTGACATTCGTTTTGTTGACCGACTGAGCTGTTCCTCAAGCCGCCGAACCTGGTGGGTCACCAACAACATTTCTGAATTTCACAAGCATTCAGATATAATTCAACTATCAAGACTGACAGATCGCAACATTTACCAATCCGGTTTGCAGATTAACTTCCTCTGATTTGTATGCCAATAGGTCATCTGCAGGAAACTGAACCTGCTGCCATCTGCGTGCTGCAGTTTGGAACGTCTGGCATTGGTGCAACAGCCTTCTTTCCTGTTCGCATTACTTGTGCATTGAGGGATCATGTCACACATAGCACTGCCTGTATTCTGCGATTCTTACATCAACTTTGGCTTCATGGACTTCAGTTGGTAGCCTCCCTTTTCCTGGAGCCTATCATATGACACCATTCTACTTGCAAGAACTGCTGTATCAGCAACCAAGCAGCATCTGTCCCATGGTATGTCAACATTACACAAGTCAGTTTGCAGGGCAACTTGGGGGCAACAGCAAGTTGGCAAGTTGTTGAAAAGTCGGGTACTGCATTTGCTTCCCAGATCTTGAGCACACACAACATAGCAGAACGAGTAAGCAATACCGGGAGGCTCATGTGACAAGAGCTCTTGCAAGGAAATTGGCCAGTCTTCCGGCAGGCTAGTTTTACGAAGGTGCATTTATTAGAGGGCACTTGCAGGCTAGGAATTGGTGTTTAAACATTTGCCCACAGACCATCTTGAACCCATGAACTGCATTGTAGGGGCCAGATGCGGAAGGCACAATGATGGAGCACGATTATGCAACCTCTCTTCCTTCACCTCCAACATCCTGTATCGAGGGTCTGTTGCATGGCTTCAAGAATTGTATTGATCCAAAAGGACATACAAAGGCCTAGCATGGTGTGGGTGATGATGTGCACCAGTTCACGCCCTAGAAGTGTTTCCATAATATATCTGCATAACTTTCCCAAAATATTCCCAGGCATACAAAGCATATACGTGGGCTGCTTGCCCAGATGCACCCAGTCGCCGGCTGCAATGTATGTGCAGTCACCGACTCAGCCTCCTTTCCAGCTGCATTTTCAAGGTAGTAACTGCGCAGTGGCACTGACATAGGGGTGCCCCTTTACGACGGTCAGACGACCACCCGATCATGAATCAATAGCACAGACATTTGGGCACGAGTCTTGGAGAGTGCAATCTTGCGTTTTGCCACTTTGACCATTTGCTCCTATACCAGCAGAACACATCTCGGGACATGGACCCGAGATTGTGTGGATCTTTCTGAAGTCGTCATTTCCCACAAGGTGCAAGGTTCTTGTTTGTAATGCCGTTGTGACAAATGCTACCATGGAACCACCAATCTGTATCTAGGTGCACTACCATTTTGTTGTCGGTGTCTGCACATCGCTTTCCACTGTGGAACAAACAGCACATGAGCAACTCGCCGCAGAGTTGGTCTTTGAACTGCCTCTGATTTCGCCTTTTTTCTGCTATTGTCTGATCCCCAGCAGTTGTGAAGCGCCCACTCTTTAGTTACCTTGCCCTTCCTCTTCACCAAGAACTCCACCAATTTGTCAGTCCTGCAGCAAGGCGCCCATCTTGTTAGGGACTATTGTTATGGAGAGATGAGGTGGCACACAAATTGGGCCACATGGTGGCCTCGCCCAGCAAAAGAAGGCCTGAGCTCCGGGCAGGCTGGCTGTAGAGTCTTCCATTGTCGAGTCCTTGCACCAGGCCACTCAACTGGACAGCTCTAAGGACAACTTGAAGCGGTATTGCAGGCCAAAACTGCGGGTGCGATTGCATCCCTTGCTGCAGCTTTGGGACCGACAAGCTTGGTACGAGCTCCAACCTCAAGGCGCATTCAGGAGCCCCCGTCGAGCTCAGGCGTCAAGCGGCAACAACGGAGCTGCTCAATCTCTGCTCCCAAAGAAACAAAGTTTGGGCTGCGGCACCAGTCGGGTTCAACAGGAGGACCCTGGACTGGGATCCGCTGAGCAAACGCAATCTGCGCTGGAGTCCCGGCGCAAGGCAGCTGCCCTCCCTTGGCGTGATGGCGCCACCACCCTGGGGCCTAGGGCTGCATCGCTTCCCCATCGTTTCGGACGCCTGGAGTTTAACCAACGAGGCTGTCTCGTCGCCAGCCGCGTTCAAGATCCATTGCGTTGACCCACTGCCGGGGCAACGTGTGGCAGACGTCAAACACGAAACGTGGGTAGTCATGAGGCTAGGGGGGATCAGCAGCTTCCTGCTCGGGACTGGCTGGCACTCACTTTTCCTCCTGGCAGGCAAGCTCCCACTGCATGCTGCGCGGATGGGTGTACAGCGTTCCAGCCCCCGGTGCAGGACTCCACTTCCGGCCCTGGGCGGCTGACACGTCTTCCATTCGATCCGCGCCCAGGCAAAATCCTGCGGTGCGCTCTGGAGAGTCCAGAATCGGCTGGACGCAGCGTGTCGTGAGGTTGGGCTTTGGCTTAGGCAGCCGCAAGCAAATGGCCATGGCCTTATGCATCCTACTTTGTACCAAAGTTCACCCACTTTTATTAGTCTTCGCCGTGGCGAGTCTGCTCAAGCCTTCCCATGTTCAACAGTCCCTCTTGAAATGCAAGCAATCCCTGGCCGTGAGACATATCGATCCTCATCATCATGCACTATTACGTAGCAAGGCAGGGAGGTAGCCGTCAGCTTCCTACATTGCCCGAGTGAAACAGTGTCCATGACCAGTTCATTGAAATCTATTGCACAACACAAAAATTGACCGAAATGCATCATTTCCTATTTTTCGAGAAGCGTTTGTCGATGGTAATTAATGGAAAGGAGCGCCCTCACCAGCTGGCGAGCGGGGACGGAAAAAAAGTGTTATTGCATTGCAATGTCGGAATAGACTTGATTGACTTCGACGAATGAACCGGCGGCACTGCAGTGAATAAGAAAATGCATCTTATCTTCTGGAGCTGAGTGCCATAATCGCCTTGACAATTCCGGAATAGATGATAATAGCCAACAAATTGTTGCGTTATGAAGTGTACAGGGCGAGTTGCATGCTTCCGCGGCCACTTGAATTGTGTGGATTTATCCATGCAACATTGTTCTGGTATTCTCCCTCCCATTGCCATGGACACTGTGGAGTGTCCCTTTGCATATCCTTGGACCGAGACCATCAGCCAACAATCACATTCAATCAATATTGGCGCATTCTTCATGAAGAACAGCTATATTCAACAGAACCAGCCATGTAAGCAAGAAATGATTCCCAATTGGCTTCCTGAGCTCAGATGGCCATGGTGCCCCGTCCATTCACAAGCCAGCCAAGCCGTTTCAAAGGCGCCTCCGAAACTGTTTCAGTCACACACACACACACACACACATTTGTCGGTGCAGCTACTGCCATTTCCTCGTGCACACATGCCTGAATTGGTCACAATGTGTGCACCACAACATCCATTCAGAGAGCTCCTGCATCCTCTGCACAGTGGGAGCTCCCGTTTCAGTTTTCATCTCTCCCGCTAGAACATTGTCTTCGTTCAAGAGCCAGTTGAGTCACGAGCCCTGCGTAGCCACCCAGAGGCCACAACCCAGTGCGTGTGCAAGTATTTTACAACTCCAGTATCTCTTCTCCTCGTTCTCAACATATGCTCAGTTCATGGACTCGTCTTATTGGCGGTCTAAGTTGCGAATTCCACCCTCAACTCCACACCGCTGGGTCTCGATAATTGCGGAATCACCACAGTGCCCGCCAGCGCCCTTCCTGCGAGACCGCATCAGGTGGACGCCGTTTGCACTCCTCCCGTTGACATTATTCAACGCTCGCTCCCGCACAAACCCTGACCGCTCGTTACAATAACCGAAAAGCTCGCAGGAAGTGTACATCACATCGGCGAACGCTTCCAAGTTATATAAAAAATGCTTCCCCAAAAAAATCCAAAGATATGCACGCAACCCCCCGCCATGCCAACGACCCAACGATTCGTTTCGTATCACATTCGGCGCCTAATAATGGGACAAAACTGGGGGAAATCAGTGTATGTGCACACTCTACCAGGAAAATCGGTGTAAAAGACTTGGCGAATGTGAAGAACTCCTGGGACACAGCAGCATGCAAACCTCAGCACCCGTTCAGAACTTCGTGAACTCGTGGGACCAGCACCAGCACCGACTATGCGCAAACCAGTCCACACCATGGTGGCAAGCCGCCCATTCCACTGCATCGCATCACTCCACATCGCACAGTCCCAAACCCAAGAACATAACAGGAATGGCGCGCACAACGGATTGCAATCCTCAGCACCATGCCAGCGTACACAACCATGCACGGCTGTGAGCTGTCAGCCATTAGGCCGACCTCACGGGACATGGACACTTGCTACACGATCAGCATCCATCCTAAATCATCATCATCATTATAAATCACGAATGCTGCACAGCGCGTGCACACTGCTAGTCCCTTATTAAAGGATCAGCATCGCCGCATCCAAACAAGCGCGCTGAGCGGGCCAAGACGAACAGCACCGAAAACATCAACTGCCTGCGAACCTTGACCTCTGGTCTCTCAGGGCGTACCTCATGATCGTCGTGGCGTGCTCGGAGCAGAACTGCTCGCCTGGCTGGTTGTGTCGCTCATATCAATTGGGAACCCCGACAACTGTGGCGGCGCCTGGCCACCCTGGCCTGCAGCACCCCCGAAGCTGGAGACGCTGGAGGCGTCGTCACTGATATTGATGGCGAATGCCTGCACCCCCGCCGGCGGCGAAGGCGACGGCGACTGCGAAGCCCCGGAGTCGCGCCTGGGCGCACCGCTCATGGGCGTGCTGGCCCTGCTGGATCCTTCACTGGGTTGGATGGGGAAATTCGGAATTCGACTGGGGCTGGAGCTCACTGGGGTGCTTGGCTGGCCCCCTGCCCCATCCACAGACCTTGGCATGGCGCCTGGTTGAGGCAGGCTCGAAGGCGTGCTCGCCCTGCTCGAAGTGTCGCTTAGCTGAATCGGGAATCCCGAGACCGCATCTTGTGCGCCTGTGGTTGGCACTCGAGCCGGTGCATTGCCTGTTGGCGTGGCATAATAACCGACCTCGAGAGCAGGACTCGAGGCACGCGCCGCCCAGACGCCACTGCCTGTGGAGCTGCCACGTTCAAACTCTGACCCAAGTGCTCCACTTGCCACTTCTGTTCCCAGATGTGGCAGGCTGGACCCTCGCACAGGGGGTGAGGCCGGTGTGGTGCCTGTAGTGCGTGGAGTGCTTCCACCTCGCCAGCTATCACCAGATGTAAGTGCAAGGCCTCTGGGCTGCTGGGCAGCACTGCCAGACAGATAGCCGGCTGCCACCGGGAAGCCCCCAGCCGCTGTCCTGGGGCTCGTTGGTGGAGTTGCACCTTCATTATGCTCAGGAAAGTGCCCTGGAGATGCAGCCGTGCGAGGAGGCGCCGCAGACCTTGCACGGCTGTCTGCTGCATAATAACCAGCAGGCAGCGGGAAATCACCACCTGGGCCAGTCACTGGTGGAGTTCGACCTCGCTCACTGCTGCCTCGCTCAACTGGTGTGCTTGCACGGCTATCGGTATCGCTGAACTGAACTGGAAAGCCTTCGACTCCAACAGCGCCTGCTGGTGGCGAGCCTTGTGCACTGTGGATATCACTCACCCTCACCTGAAAACCCTCAGCTGCCCCGCCCACAGGGGTGCTAGCACGGCTGTCTCCTTCGCTCCATGCCAGAGGGAAGCTTTGCGGAACACGCTGGCTGGCTGGAGTGCTTGTGCGACTGCCCCCTTCGCTCACTGCGGTGGGGAAGCTACCAGGCAAGCCACGTTCAGTCGATGCACCAGAGACAGCCGAGACGTCGCTCAGTCGCACTGGGCGACTCTCCAGGACGGGCCCGCCTGATGGAGTGCTTGCACGGCTGCTGCCGCCCTCACTCAGTGCAATAGGGAAGCTGTCTGGTGCCACAGGTTCGGCCCCTGGGCCAGAGACATTTGATGAATCGCTCAGTCGCACCGGACGGCTCTCCAGTTGAGGGTTGCTGGCTGGGGTGCTGGCACGGCTGCTGCCTCCCTCCAGTGCGGCAGGAGAGGTCCTGGGAACTTCAGGGGTGCTGGCACGACTGGAGCCATCGCTGTGATGTGCACTTGACTGAATGGCCTGCACCCGCACACCCTCTGTGGCAGCAACTGGACGAGTAACTGGTGGGGTCGTTGCAGCAGGGAACACTCCAGGCAAGCCTCGATAAGCTGACAGACCAGAAGCAGCTGACACATCGCTCAATCGCACAGGGCGACTCTCCAGCTGAGGGCCCCCCACCGGTGTGCTTGCACGACTGCTCCCATCGTCACTCATTGTGACAGGGAAGCTGTCGGGCGCCACACGTTCGGCAGACATCCAAGAAGTATTTGAGGCGTCACTTAGTCGTACTGGCTGACTCTCCAGAACGGGGCCTCCAACTGGGGTGCTTGCCCGACTGTCGGTGCCTTCGCTCAACACAATGGGGAAACTCCCAGGCGCCGCACGGTCTGCACCAGACACAGCGGAGACGTCGCTCAGGCGAACTGGGCGGTCCTCAATCCTGGGGCTCCCAAATGGTGTGCTCCCACCACTGCCTTCCTCGCCCTCTACAGCAGGAGCAATCCTTGATGGAGGCTGAGCGACTGGTGTGCCCGCACGACCGGCCGACACAGCAGAAACATCGCTCAGCCGCACTGGGCGACTCTCCAACTGCCCCCCCCCCACTGGGGTGCTTGCCCGGCTGTCACCTCCTTCACTCAATGCGACAGGGAAGCTGCCAGGCATCTCTGGGGTGCTTGCACGGCTGACGTCACTCAGACGAACTGGATAAGCCTGCACACGTGGCCCTTCTGCAGGAGTGCTTGCCCTGCTCCCTTCATCGCTCTGCTCCACAGGGAAGGCCCCAGGTGAGCCACGGCTAGCTGCCCCCGATTCGCCAGAAACTGGAGAGATGTCGCTCCACCTGACTGGGCGGCCCTCCAGCGGTGGCGGGCTTGTGGCTGGGGTGGTCGCACGGCTCCCACCATCGCTCAGCACCACAGGGAAACTGCCAGGCAGGCCACGCTCAGTGGATGTACCAGACACAGTGGAGGTACCACTTAACCTCACTGGGCGGCTTTCCAGCTGGGGGCTGCTTCCTGGAGTGCTTGCCCGGCTAGCTCCCCCTTCACTCAGTGCAACAGGAAAGGCTCCTGGCACTTCTGGGGTGCTGGCACGGCTGTCAGGGTCACTGAGGTGAACTGGATGAGCCTGCACTACTTGTCCCCCAGGTGGGGAAGCACCGCGATCAGTAGACACTCCAGATACAGCAGAGATGTCACTCAGTCGCACTGGACGGCTCTCCAGCTGAGGTCCCCCCACCGGGGTGCTTGCCCGACTGTCACCCCCTTCGCTCAAAGCAACAGGGAAGCTCCCAGGCATCTCTGGAGTGGACGTACCACTTGAACTCAGTCTCAGGCGGACTGGGAAAGCCCGCCTCAATCCCTCAGTCATCTCTGGTGTGCTAGAGCGGCTGGACACATCGCTCAAGCGCACAGGGTGACTCACAGCCTCCACTCTCCTGCCGCCAGGACCTTGCTCGCCCGGTTGTGCCCCAAGCGATGGTCGTTCACCAGTCGTGGCAGAACGGCTTGAAACGTCGCTGGGACGCACTGGGTAGGCCTGCAAGCCCTGACCACTCACAGGGGTGCTGGAGCGGCTCCCATCCTCGCTAAGCTCAACAGGAAAGCTGCCAGGCAGCGCCCGCTCTCCAGGCGTTGCAGAGCGGCTGGAAATATCGCTCAGTCGGACCGGGAAACCCTCTACCTGAGCATCGCCGTGCGGCGGGGTTGAGCGACTGGCTTCTTCGCCTGACAAGGGGTGGTCCACAGACACGCTGGAACGGCCAGATACATCGCTGAGGCGAACTGGGTAAGCTTCCACCCTCCGACCACCTGTGGGCAGGCCAGGACGATCTGCAGCATCCCTAAGCCATGTAGGATAGCCGGCCATATCTGGTGGGGTAGCAGACCTGCTCGAGATGTCACTCCCACGGATGGGGTAGCCTTCCAACTGCCTCTCTCCAGCGGGGGTGCTTGCGCGGCTGGACCCATCACTCAGCTGGACAGGGAAGCTGCCAGGCATCTCTGGGGTGGCTGACCTGCTGGAAATGTCGCTCACACGGACGGGATAGGCATCTCTGAATTCACCTGTTGGGGTGCTGGCTGCACTCCTGTAGTCGCTCCCCGGAGGACTGTCACTCACCCTAACAGGAAAGCTCGTAACCTCCACATCGCCCGCCATGGCACCATAGCCAAGGCTACGGGCAACTTCGAGTGGGGTGCCTGAGCTCTCAACCCCAGTTGAAACTGGGATGATGTGTACCCTCTGGCTGGATGCACCACTGCCTGGTGAGATGACCCCTTCCTCGCCTGTAAAATCTAATGGGAAGCTCCTGATCTCAGGTGTTGAGTCAGCCTACATTCACCAGAAAGCCAAACACATTCAGCTGGTTCTGCAGTGGACATGCAGCCAGGAAGAATTCGCCCAGCAATTGTTGGGAAGTAGCCATAGTGATGTAGATAGTTAACTGAGGGCAGGCAATTGTCCTGTACAGAAGAAGTGACTTGCTGTCATTAAACCTGTCTGAAACGCAATCCCATTTATATTCTGCGACTGTGACCACAGGCAAGGGCCCTCTTTAAGTCTCGCTGAATAAAACAAGTCAAGTAGCAGCCCGCAGGACAACAGGTTGGCCAACATGGCACTTACCAATGAGCTGGCCATTGGTGGTGACCCCCCAGGGGACGTTGCATCCACATATCGATCTTCTCCAATTGAAACATCCCCGCTGTTCAAATACTGTCCTGGTGTCAGGGATGGCTCAGCGCCAGGAGCCTCAACATAATCGCTGTGGAAAGCACATGACTGTCCTGAGCAAAGTGCCCACTCAATCTGTGCAGTGAGGTGTGAATCCAACAGTCCAAACAACAGCTCAGTCATACCGCATACACTCCTAAACGGCATTAAAGTTAAACCACTGTTCCTGTCAGCATCTTCAGCACAGGAATGCAAAGCCCATGTTCAGCGTATTCGTGTCTACCAGTGATCTCTTCACTGAAGCCATCCTTGCCAACAACAGGGTGCAAGGGCAAGCACTAAGAGCCATCGAGCATGCTGCAGTAAAATTGAACGAACAGACAGGACAGCCCTGGGACAATGTTCGGGCAACTCTCATTCCTCAGCTGACCTGGCAATAGAATCAATTCCACTGGAGCTACAAACCCCAGTCAGATACTGTATTCACAACCTACACAAGACACTGTGCTAGGCACTTGAGGAGCAGCAGCAGAGCCTTGACGCGATCTGAAACACTTGACAGCGTCCCATTTTCACCATAGAAAGGCAGAGCATCCGAGCCTATGCACCACTTACCCAGTACCACTCCGCGGGGTGCGTCTGGGGCTTCCCACAGAAATGGTGGAAATGAAGGACCTCCAGTAATCAGACAAAGACTTGGTTTGACTGCCACCATGTGTATGGCCAGGCTTTTGAGATCCCGGCTCACTGTCCAGCATTTTCTTGCCCTTATCATCAGCACTCGTCATCGTTGTCAGCTCGTCTCCCTCTCGCCGCTTCCTGTGGTTTCTTACCAACATCGCCACCACAGCCACCAGCAAAACAGCGCCAACAGCGAGACCGACACCCAAGGGAAGAGCCAATGCAGTGTCGCTGTCCGGAGAGTCGCTGTCAAAAGTGGAGGCAATTGTCACCAACGACTCAACAGACAAACTGCTAAGACGGCAAGCAGCTCGAGTTGGGGCCAAGTGGACACCATCTACGGGTTCCATTGCTCCTTCATTGCTATCGCTGTTGTGAATATCTCCGCTGAACCAGCTAAACCAGGCTTCCCACCCACTGTCAAAGAAAGAGTGAGCAAAATCCTGTAGTGGTTGACAGGGGCTTGCTGTACGACTGTTAGTTGTGCACATTTGTTATGCAGCAATCCATGAAGCTCAAGCAAAGTGGCAACACAACAACTGTTGATGCTACTGCATTTTTGAAGCCCTCAGACAGAATTGTACCTGCTGCACAGGGTATACCCACAGCTTTGCTAAGGTACCAACTTACACAACACCTTGGCTGGCAACCAAAACGTGGAAGTGCAGGACATTACGAAACTAAAACGATTGTTCCGATGATGCCATACTCCACACATCTTGTTCACTGGGCAGCCAGGTGGCTGCCAAAACCAGAGTTATGGTTCTGTTGGTGGAATTTCTTGTTTATTGATATAGAAGACAGAGATCTCTGACAGCTGCTCCCGTTGTGATTTGTTAGTATTCTTGTTGGATCGTTGCAGTTCTGCAGCTGGCAGAAGTGGAGGGACAGACCTACACAGTACGCTGTTCTTGTCAATACACTTTTCTTTTCGATGCTGTTGAGCCAAATACGCATCAAGTAACCTGAATGATGTTGCTTTGCGTGGAGTGCAAGGAGCATAACGTCAGTGAAGTTCGCAACCTGCCCACACCATACAAGTGTGGGCCACTCACCCATCGCCCACGACACCACGTTGCACCACAGCTGGTGCTGCTCCCAATCCTGCAGCCGCCACTAGACATTTCCCATCGACTTCTTCGAATCCAGTGTCGCAAGTGGCACACGAATCGCCAATGTATCCTGTGAAGCAGTCGCAAATGCCATTGCTTGTGAAGAGACACCGTCCATTTGCAGAGCAGTACCGCAGACTGTTGTCAGGACCGAACACAGGAGCAGGGCACGCCGTAAACGTGAATGGACAGTCCCCTGGGCACGCCAGGGGACCGTCAGCTGGAAAGCCAGGCGCCCCTGCCATCTCCCCAAACTCGCAGATGTTGTTCCCACAAAGTGCAATCTTGCTGGCATTTGACACGCCCAAGATCTCGCAGGTATCATCTTGCTGGAGCTGAGTTCGCACTGCAGTGGCATCACTGGCCAGCTCTCTTGTCAATGATGCAGCCGAAAGAGGCAGCCCAGGCGTCTCCAGAACCACCAAGAAGTTGGTGCCCTGGCCAGTGCGGGATGTGATGTTGGGTTCGAATTCCTGCATTGAACAACACCAGTGCCAATATCAGCAAACAGAAAGCCACAGCATCGCCCACAAATGTACCAATGTGTTGCAAGATATGCCATCCCATTTGGCATTAAGCTATGCACATGCACCCCAGTGAGGCATGCCCCAAGCCAAAGCGCACAGTCACTGGAAAACCACATTAACCTGGTGGAACGATGGAAGCAACAACGATGGAAACCTGCAACATGCATTATCTGCACACCAGCCATATGGTTTGGTTGTCCATACATGTGCATCAACACAGCTTGAAGCAAAACCACTCCAAGAACTACGCCCCTCAACAACACTGTTGTGTTCCAGTGCCAAAGGCCCACACAATAGCATACTCCATAGGGCCAAAGATGTGCACAGAAGCGCAAAACACAACTGCTGCAAATTCAGGAAGCACAGATGCAGATGGTGCATTGCCTACAATGCAAATGGCACACCTCAGAATCCACAGGCACTGCCTCAGTTATCCTCTGCGACAAACAGTCCAGAAGGTCGCTGTCAGAGATGGCTGCATCTGAAACCTGGACGGTCATCTCAATTCTGGATCGGCAAGAAGAACCATCTCCTGAGCATACTCCACATCCGTCCAGGTCGCCGCTCGAGCAGCACAGCCCATTGCCATCCAAGAATGTCTGTAGCAGCACAACAGCTTTAGCATGTACTGCAGCAAAATGCATGCAACATGGTGCCAGATGTGCAAGCATCCCATATGTCTCCCACACACAAAACAAAGAAGATTTACCCCAAGCAGTGCCACAGATAACTGAGCAGGCACTTCACCCAAAGAGGTTGAGGAGTGCAAGGTGCAAGGAATAGTTTTCCATTCTGTGCACATCCTCCAATGCCACATCTGCCACTTCACCCAGAAAAGCATCAGGATATGTGCACAATCATACGCCACTACAAACTGCTTCAGGTTGAAGGTAGACATCAACACTGAAGAAGACACCACAAATTTGCATAAACCACTAAATGTCAACGGGCTGCAGTGCCTTCACTCACCGAACAGCACACCCCAGATAGATCTATGAACTGCCCATCTCCACCACAGATGCCACAAGCATCAACACCATCACTGCAGCACAGGCCGGCCCCATCTAGCTCTTGACCCTCTTCACAGCAAGTGCCTTCCACATCAAGGCGGCCTTCACAACACTGTCCTGAGGCGTCTGCCACTGAGCCCTCTGGACACGCGAGAAAGCCAGAGCCATCCAGTTCGCAGTTTGCACCGCTGAATTCACCTTCGCAGATGCAGTTGCCCTGGACACAGGTCCCACGGCCTGTGCATGAAACCACAGCCATCCTCAAGTCACCATATACTGGGTGCAAAGTCAGCAAAACTTTGAAGTCGTGGAGAGTTTCAAGCCACATTTCAACACTGGCATATAGTGCGCACTCCCCAGCGAACTCATGACAAAGGTAAGGAAACATATGGTGGGCATGGGCTATTCTGCTGTCCTGGTGTCTGGTGCCCAAGTATCCTGTACTGCGAAACATTCAAGCCTTCTGCATAGCAAGTAACGTTTGGCCTTTTTTTGCATAGCAACAATAAAAAACGTAACAGCGCCAAGAAAGTGCAGAGCAGCCCCAAGCACAACAAGGGGTCTCTGGACTGCTTGCGGTGTCTAGCGGCCCCAGATGCACAAGTGGCTGTGGCTGAAAACCGGCTTTGAGGCCATGCAAACTCAGAAGAGTCGCCATTCCAGCTGTGACCACGATGCCAAGCCCCCAGAACAATGGCCTATTGACAGAATGCAGAGGAAAAATAGTAACAGTGAATTGTCTGATGCAGAAGGGTTGAATATTTTGTGGTAGCTCCACACACATATGTCCAATGCTGCACAAACACATTCACACAAAATTCCCTGTCATGCCACGTATGCCTGCATCAGTTTCGTCAAGTTGTAACAGTCCAAATCGAAGCCACACAGTCTAGCATCAGCAAGATAGGAGCAGTCCTGCCTGTAGACATCAAATCACAAGCAGACACCTCATCATGCAAATTGGACTGCAACAAGTGAGCATGGCAGGACACGTGGTAACAACAGTCCCCACTGTAGGTCAGCGTTCAAGCCCCCCTGACCTCCATGGAGAATTTGACGACACAGCCTCATAGCCTAGCACAAGCGGATGCCTGTCAGTAGTCCCAAGAAATCACCTGAACAAGTCTTGCCACTGCAGCTGTCCTGCATAGGGTCTTGCAAGAGTTTTCTTCTATTGCCAGAAGCTGGGCATGCAAAGGTGTTGCATGGCTCTTCTTCCCTTGGCCTCTCAAGGCCCTTGTCCTCACAGGTGTCACTGGAATCCCCACCCGTGAAGGGCACTATATTTGCCACAACACAGATCACTTCCCTTGTCCGATTGCCACCACCACACGGCTCACTGCACTCGCCCCATGCACGCACACTGTAGTAGAAAGACTCGCAGGGCATGGTGTTGCATTCCTTCTCAACAAGCTTTGGGTCGAGTGCTTCACAGTTGGATGCATCAATGACGTCTCCGGTCCCGTTGACGCACACTGCAGGTCTGGTTCGCACACCTGACACACACCATGTCCAGCTAAACATAACAACAATCGATGTGTCAAGCACCAAGCACAACATAGGTGTCCTGCCAGCTTGTTCCATGCACAGCGCTCAACGTCAAATCAATCATTTGTGCAAACTTGCCCAGTGTTCCCTCAAGGGAGGGATTGCCAAACTTGTGCCTCATGCTCTTGTCATGGCAATCAAATGAAAACCAACAGCATAAGAATCCAGCCAATATGACAACTCCACTTTCACCTGTGCCATGGTTCAATAGAAACTGCATATGTGCACACACACAGCGCCATTTCAGAGTGTGCAAAGTACATGCACCCAAAGTATCCAAGGTTGGTTCCAATCACATGCAGCAAGTGACCAGAGCCGAGAAAACCACTGGACTCCCAACACCCAACACCCACTCCAACTCCCAACCAAGGCATCCAGACATGTGCGTGCACAGGGCTGGGGTTCACCTCCACCACACAGCGCATCGCAAGCACTCCACTGGCCCAGCTGGTAGTACGCAGGCAGGCTGCTGCATGGGGCAACGTCACACTCTGCCGAGGTGTCGCTAGATGTGTCCAGAGTATCACACACCTCCTGCGGAGCGGGTGTCCCAGATGCACTGATGCAATATTGCCCACGCTCCTGTGGCATCATAATCAGACTGCACAATCAGCACTGCTGGCGCAGGCAGTTGTCGGGCAGCAACTTGGACAATGGATTTTGCTCGTGTGTTGATGGACTGACGTACACTGTTGTGAGACTGCTGAGGGCTCTATGTTTGCCCTCTACGACTTGCAGGTTGTGGCCAGACTAAATGACAACGACATTAAAGGAAAAAGCAGGGCAAACAACAAAGTGAAGGGGCAACCAATAGCTGCAGAAAGTGCCAGTCCTTTGAAAATTCACAACAAACCCGGAGCTGGAATGCAAAATGTGGACAACACACAATTGCACTTTTCGTTGTCTCATTCAAGGCTTGGGACCAACGCGCATCACTTGACAATCTGAGCTGCAGCGCCAAACAGTGATTCCAAGCACCACATACCGCATATATGCCCCACAGTACCAACTCACCCTGACACTGGGCCCGCCATTCCTGCACACACTGCTGCACTCTCTCCATGGGCCAAGGTACACTGCATCGCCCGCAGCCGACTGTGCCACCAAACTTGGGCCACTGCTGCTTGTTGCTGCTGGGGCTGTGGCCATTTCTTCAGGCACCACCAGGACTGGCGCAGGGGCTGGTGCCCCCACTGTGTCATCCACTTCTGGCGCAGGAACAGGCGCATCGATCACTGGTGCTGGAGCAGGTCCAACTGTCTTGTTCGCTGGCACAGGCGCTGGCGCATCGATCACTGGTGCAGGAGCAGGTCCGACTGTCTCGTTCGCCGGCACAGGTGCAAGAGCATCCATCACTGGTGCTGGAGCAGGTCCAAGTGTCTCATTCGCTGGTGCAGGCGCTGGCGTGAGTGTGTCATTCACTGGTGCTGGCACAGGAGCATCCATCGTGTCATTGAGCAATGCTGGAGCAGGCCCTTCGACTGGCTCAGTCGCTGGGCCAGGCGCAGATACGTCAATTGTCTCATTCACTGGTGCTGGAGCAGGCGCATCAATCGTGGCAATCGCAGGCGAAGGAACCAGGGCTTCAACTTTCACATCTGCGGGGCCGGGGGCCACCGCTTCGTCCGTCACATTTGCAGGGCTTGGGGCTTGGGCATCAACAGTAGCATTCCCTGGCACTGGGGCCGCGGCAGTGACTGTCCCATTTGCTTTAGCCATCGCAGGCGCATCTGCTGTTTCAACCCCTGATGGTGCCAGAGCATCATCTGGTGCACCCGCCATACTTGTCTCATTCTCCTTCAGAGCCGTGGGGTCCACAGAAGGGACATCGGCCACATCCACATCTTCTGTGTCAGGTGCACCGGCTGTCATGTTGCCTGCCATCATGTTCCCTGTGCCAGCTGTGGCCACGCTCGGTGCTTGCGCATCAGTTGCGGCTGCAGGCGGCAAGGCCAGGCTTCGATCCTTGCTTTTCCTCTGTTTACCCACTTGCGGTGTGCCTGTTGGTGCGGGTGCCACTGCTGGTGACCCATCACCGGGCTCGCCCATGGTTTGTGGAGGCATGGGGGCCCCGCCACTGGGTCCTTGACTACTGCCCGGCACACCAGGAGAAGGTGGAGAGCTGCTGTCCGGCCTTTGTGGTGGTGCTGACGATGACCCATCTCCAGTTGGCGTTATGCCAGAGCTGGGAGCTGGTGCAGGCGTTGCTTTGGGTCGAGCTGTCTTCCTTGCCTTGGGAAGACTTGCTGGAGCAGGTGCAGTGGTCGGACGTGTGCCATCCACAGGCTCGGGCGACACAGCTGCAGGGCTTGTGGAAGTATCTTCAGCAGGCTTGGACCCATTAAAAGCATGGCCAGGTATTGGATGGAACTCCGACAGCGGTGCGTAATAGCGCGTGGGGAAAGTGCAAGCAAGGTCCTGGCCTTTGCACACAGACATGCACTCCCCTGTAGAAATGAACTTGTGGCTGGGAAGGTCGAGTGCCACGTCCCCACAATCCCAGAGTTGAAGAGTCTGCAAGAGCATACACAGTCTCAGCGTGTGGTGGAGGCAATCAACAAAGTGACACAAACTAATGAACAGGCAATCCTGTTGTTGTGGTGGTAACTTGGGAGCCAAGGCAGAAGGGGCCAGCTCGATTTTGCCTAATCAAAACAGCAAATAGGCCTGGGGCACCACTTTCTGTGGGACTTGAATGCGCCAGAGTGGTCTTGGCATAATAATTGGCCTCCCCGACAAGAGAGAACCGCACCATTCTCAAACGAAACAGCACGGCACACATGTACCATTGTGAACACCACAACTGTCATTGAGGTGCTAGCTCTTGAATGCCACCACATTTTCTATGTTTTGGGAGATACGCTCGTCACTCGATGACAGCGAATGCTGCTATTTGAAGTTGCTATGCCCTGAACCAAGGCCTAGCACAGAAGCCAAGAAATGAGTGCAAGTTCTGTTGCCCACGACTGAGAAAAGAACAGTGGTCACTCTCCTCACCTCGTTTAAAAAACACTGCCCAGATAGCACTACTGCCATCAAATCGTGATCTATTCTGATGCCGCAGCCATCCTGGACGCAGATCACTTCATGTTCCTCTCCTAAATCGCAGTTCTTCAGGTAGCAAATGTGTGGGGCACTTCGCAAGCATGTGGGTGTGCAACTGATATGACCTGGTGCAAAGGCCTGGACAAAGACAGTCGTAATGTCAAACGACGACTCAGCTTGGGTTCAAGGCAAGCATTTCTAATCCAAAATCTTGCAAAAGAAACAAGCCACTGGACAGCATCACACCACATTTCGATCTGCGCATGGTTGCAAGGATCGCATTCCCGGCCCACAAGAACAACAGGAGACAGCGGAGTGATGTGCAAATCGTTAAATTGATTGCAGCTCGGGCAATGAGGTGAAATTTGGCAGTCTGTTTTGTCGATGAGCAACAAAGGTCTGTGCCACAACCTATAGTCTCAAAAGCTACACTATTGTTACAGATTTCACAACCTCATGCACATCCTTGTACCCGGTAGGAAATGTCAGGCAGCAGCCCAAACATCTCCCTTTTGAACTCAAGTTCTACAATTGCACAATAAAGCACACAGGAAACACTACTTCTGGCGACGTTTTCTGCAGAATTATCTAGGACACCAGAGGCTGACTAATTGCACAGGGCAACCAATGGCATTGCCGCGAGTCCACGCACGTGCTTGATGCTGGTCATCGTATAGTGGTCCACCAGGGCGCAGTTGCACAGGAAATTGGGTGGGCGATGGTCATAGCAGTGCCCTGAACGCAAAAGAACACTCTTCAGCGACGCCTTGGACACAACAAGAGAACTATTGACCAGCTCATGCACCGCACCCTGAAAATTGTTCTCTGGCAATTTCCTGGTAAACCGTTGTGCTTCGCAACCCGGTGGTCAAACACCCACCGTTTCATTGAATTTTCGACATTCCACGGCAACCAAACTTCACCGGCGACACTCTTTGGCGCGGGCAACGAAACCTTCGGTTCGCACAAAGGGTCCCGGTGAAATGAAGGCTGGCATTCGCAGCGAATTCGCCCCGGCCGTCTACCACGTGCGTAGTCTCCCAGTCCAACGGACCACAGCGTGCCACCGACTCGTCGCGGGGTTGGACCATCAACTAAAGCGCCCATCACGAAGCGATCTGGGCTGACAAGGCCCAATGGCCAGCGCAGTCCCGCCAAAAAGGCCGCCTGTTACCCCAGCCAACGAGCTTGCGCCATATCGGCACCCCACGCGCCCCCTCCCCGCCCCGGGCTCCTGGTATCCCCGCGATCACCGCGGGGGCGGCGGCGCCACAGGCACGCCGCCGTTTCGCCTCCGGAGACGCGCTCGCGCCTCCACCGGCCGCGCACGATCGCCGCGCCGCTCCCTCCAACACACAACGCCCTCGAACAAACACACCTCGCAGCTCGTCAAGGAGCCCGTCCAAACCGCGCCGCCCAGCAAACGGCGCGCCGATCGCAGTTTCAGAACGGCTCCGAGCCTTTCGCCCGGACTGCATGCAGGCAAGGCGGCCAGAAGCGGCTCCCGGCCATGCATCGCCAGTCAAACGCGCGGCCCCGCGGGTCCGCGGCGCGTACAGCCCCAGGTGCCTCCCCCCCTTGCTACCTTCCCCGCAACCTCGTCCCCGCATAGTCGCGCGGGGGCCTTAAGAGGGGCGCCCCCCCGGCGAGGAAACGCGCCGCATCCGCGTCCATTCCTCCACGCCCCGCCTCCAGAAAGTCAAAACATCGCGCTCCGACCATGATGGGTCAGCGCGTTCGTTCCACGGCGGCCGTCCCCTAACTTGGACCAAAAGGCGTCGGGCATGTTCAGCTTCCGAGGGGACGCGTCGGGCGCCGATCAGCCCCCTCGGCCCCCTTTCACCAATCTGCGGCCTCGCGCGCAAGCCCGGCCAACAATTTGAGCATCGAAACAGCGGCCACGAGATGCCGCCACGGCTGCGCGAATGGTCAGCAACCACCACAACGGGGCACGCCCACAGGACAGCCGCCCCGCCCGCCGCGCTCCCGCCAAGCCGCGGGCCCCCGCCTCACTTTTGTGTCCGCCGTAGCCCGTGCCCAGCAGACTCCTGTCCGCCGAGCTCGAGGCGCCGTTGACGCCCCACCCGCCTCCGGCCGCCGCATCCAAACCCCCTGGAACGTGCCCCCACGGCGGGCCGCGCGTCGCGACGTCGCAAGCGGCCAGCGGCGCCAGCAGCGCGAGGGCCAGCCATGGGCCCAGCCCGCCGCAACCGCGCTGCCGCGCTGCCCCCGAGCTACCCATGGTCTTCGTGCTGCGGACGAAAATCTGAAGCGAACTCCCCCCCCGCCCCGGCGGTGCGCTGGCCCGGACCCTCCGTGGATGGGTAGCTACGGCTGCCTAGCTACCTATCCCTGGGTCGCCGGTGGGGCGCGCGCCTGCCGTGGCCTGGGCTGCCCGGGACTTGGGAGCATGGTGATGGCCGGGGCAATAGTCAGGGTGGGAGTGCGCAGGGCGGGTGAGTCTGGCGCAAGCGCAGAGATAAGGTAGATCCGCTGCATGCGCCGACAATCAGGCGGCATACCTCAATCTGCTTTGGGCCGGTGTTGACGCGGGGTTTTCGACGTCTATGTACTGGGCCGCGATTTCTCCCCCAGGCCGGGGGTGTGTCAGGCGGCTTCTCGCCCGGGCGGACATGCGATCCCGGCCAGTGACGTGGGCTCCCCGTGGGCTTGCGTTTTGCATGTCGGGCCCCTGGCCTCTTTTCCTGCTACAAATGCTGACGCGCTGGGTCCAATGCCGCGAGTGTGAGGCTGACTGCCGCCACACGGTCGTCAGGACTGCCGCGATTGGATTCGATGGACTGATGGGATGCGATCAGATTCTGCCTCTCAGGCATTCTCAAGCACTGAATTTGGCCTGGACGATGACGCTTGCAAATTGGTTCTGCTTGACGGGTCCTCCACCGCCCGACTCATGAGTCGGCCTCATTTGTGATCACATGCTGACCGCGCCAATACTTGCCGTCGTTGGCGTCTGTCGCCCGTCACTGCTCGACCAAGGCCGCCAATGACTATTGCCACGATGCTCGTGACCTGAACAAAAATACCGAACACCAGCACTTTGTAGCTCGCTCAATTCAAAATTCGAATTGGAACTCAAGGGGGGTTGGGCGGGAGCGTCCAAAACGAGGCAATAGCTGGCCAGAAACTCATTACTTGAGCATTAAGCACACACAAAAAAGAATGCCAAGCTGCAACCGTTTTGGCGATACCCCAAGCTCCCGGCTGGTTAAGGGCCGAATCTGACTTGCATTCACTGACCGGAAGCGCATTAAATATGTTTGCCGACAGTGTGTTAATCTTAAAAGTACGGCCATAGATATTTTGCTCGTGAGAAATGGTGAACAGCAGCGTGGAATGCATGTTTGATGAAATATGGCCACAGCACTACGCAAAATTTGTGGGATTAATGACTGACGCAATAGAATCCAAGATGTAAATTCATGAAATTATGCAATGGCGATGCAATTATTGCAGTTATGATGGGTTAACCATCTTGTGAGGCGGCCTGAAGAAAGTTCCCGTCAAGCATGGACAACATGCTGCACACTGCTTCTTGTGGATTTGCTTTTGGTTTGAACACGGCTGGACAGCAGTGCGCACTGTGTACACACAGTCCTTTAATTAACCAGGCCCGCGGCGTCCCACCAGGGGTCAGTGTGTTACTTTCAATTGAAATGTTTATGCAAGAAGATATTTAACATTTGTACGATGTGATGATGAAACACCGTCCTGCAATAAAATGGAGGACTATCATTGCATTTCGTCATTATTGGGTAATTATCTCAGCCAGTGACAATTTTCCGCGAGTGATGGACGCTCGAGCGGGTCCACTGGACCGCTGAGCTCAGTGGATGTACTCTATGCTCAAGTGATCGTCAAAGCAGTGGGTTTCGAATTCAGTTGCGCTTTTGCGCTTGAGCTTCGGTGGTCGAGAGACACGCCGCCTTTTCTTGGCGCCCTTCCTATCGCTTGGTCCGCTGCATTGTCTTTTGGGATCTTACCAATTCTGCACCTGCACTGTTGATGGACGTGGTGCGCCGTGTCCTTTTCCCGTCTTAAGAAGTTATTTAGACACTTTATGCTTCGGAGGCATATTCAGTTGGGAACCGTTTTGAAACTATACGTGAAAAATTAGCTGATACAATAAATATAAGCCATACGGAATAAGCTTTTCCGCGCCATACATTATCCTATGATGCACATCGTGATGTCAGCTCTTTCTCGTCCTCACTTGCCACCTCTCTTGCACTCCTCTGCACTTGCGAATCAAACACTGCCCGATTTCACCTTGAATCAATGATAAGACATGGGAAAATGCTGCACATCCCCGAGAATGGGAACGGCACGAGGGGGATCAAAGGCCCAGCGGCATGTGTTTCAGCAACGGTAACTCAGAACACATAGTCGTCTGCGAGAAACGAGCTAGGTCTGACAACTGAGCCCCTACACTTTCTCTTCACTTGTGAATAAGGCATTCCCCCGTGGCAACGCCTGGTGAATATCAAAATGAAGGGACGGACCAGTGGATCGGAGGGACCAGGGAGCTCCTCCTCGAGGAGGGGCAATGGGGAATCGCATTTGCAAATAGACTAGACAAGAAAACACACCGCGCGGAGCAACTGCCAACATCGGAAATACAACAGGATATTCCTTGCATTAGTTTCCCGTGGCCTGCCAAATGTTGTGAATTATGATTGACCGCAGGGGTGTCGCGTGCGCCACGAAGAGTTTGCGTGCCACGTAACAGGCACCCCAATGTGCTGTACCATGGTGTTCCGAATCATGTCTACTGTGAGCTTCTGTATTTGTGCTCCCATTGGAGGGCCTGTGAGGTCGGTGCATACAGCTGCACCCAGCAGAAAGATGTCCAAAGCCTGCCACCGCAGCTGAATTTAGGGCGCAGGCTGAGCCTTGTTTACTACTGCGTTCGCTTAGGAACTGATGCCAGTGTCGTCATGTCGTCATCCCCGGCGGTGGCCGCAGGGGCAAGCCGGGGGAGCTCCGCTTCTGTGCGGCTCAGAATTCGGCGGCAAGCAGCGAGAAAGGGCAGCCGCCAACCGCACTACATAACTCACTCGCCGCCATCGCGCCTCGTGGAGAAGCAAATCTCAGCATACTCATGGGGCGCGATGGGCCGGCGCCCAAGGACAAGGTGACCCGCAGAACACCAGTGCAGCGACTTGGGCTGCAGCGATAGAGGCAGGCGCGTCCAAATTCATGTCTGAATCAACGCCCCGCCCAGAACCGTGTTTTCAGCCATTCCGCTGGAGGTTGACGTCCGTTCGTGCGGGAGGCTGCCAACGCTTCGCTTGTTTCCCAGCTTTCCATTCCGCGCCAATGGCCATTCTCAGAATTCTTACAACTCCTTGCTCCTGCCGTATTCACTCCAGGGAGGTTTGGTGTACCTGTGCTTCTTCTTGTTTGGCGCTGGCCTTTTGGCACCCTGGAATGCCTTTATCACAGCCGTGGACTACTTCAATTACTTGTGGCCGGTGGGTATCTCACTGGCCACAAATGGCGTTGTGTCTGACTGCAACATCAATTGAAAAATTCCTTTTACGACACTATTCGATGCAGAAAATTGACATCTGGGTACCTCTTAGACATTGAAGTGTAACACAATTATTTGCACAAGCAGATAGTTCCAACCTTTCTGAAGAGTCCTTGTACACAAGCCAGCATGGCATGCAATAGGACGCTTGCCACGAAGTTGTCAATATCAACCTCCTAACCTTGCTATTTCTCGTTGATTTCAGTTGCATTGGCTGATCTGCTCTGTGTGTGCTCACTGGGAGTGGCATGTGGATATCGATTCTATTTGTGAGGTGGTCCACACCAAATGACCCAGTCGCTGCTCCCTCCTATTCGCTCTCTCAAAGTCTCTTTATCGGAAGGTACTATTGCACCAGTGGTGCTATTCGACCATCTGAATAGCACCGCAGGTCAAAACCCCATCATTAACAGTTGGGAAGCAACAGCAGCCCGATGCTATTCGGCCATGAATGGTGATATTTGGGCCCCAAATAGTACCGTTGAAGGCCAAATAGCACCCCAGAATAGGACTTGGTGCTATTGCACAGTATTATTGTAGTGGTGCCCTAATGCTATTGGGCCAAAGGTTCTTTGCCCATAGCACCCAATGTTGCAGATGCATACTTGGGAGCAACAGCACCGGTGGTGTTCAGCAAATGCAGCCTTAGTAAGGTGGCACAGCAGCCAATGACAATTGTTCATTTAGAACACTGCCAGTGCACTAGCACCACCGATAAAGATGTCTTTATGAGTGTATTCAGATTGACCAGATTCTATACAGGCCCTACACTGACTATAAGCTTGCTGAGCATGGAAACTCCCCAACATTGCAACCTTTGGCCTTTTTATCGGCTCTACAGCCAGTGCCATTTCTGGTTTTATGACCTTATAGATGAACCAACAAAATCAACAGAAATTGTTGGCTAACAATAACAACAAATTCCGAATGCCCCTTGACAAGCTACATTTTGGATCTGATTGCAGAGAGGCAACGGTATTGATCTTGGATGTTCATTCCCACTGGTTCTAAATTTTCAATTTTTGTTTGCATGGCTTTTGACATTCTCCCTCTGGGTCATTGTGCCTCCCAGCTTGTAGTTCAAACCTCCACATGAGGCATCGTGCAAATGTGCTGGGTAACACATGTGGGCATGGCCTGCTGAAACAGTATTTAGAATACAGGGCACTGTTGTAAACAGGAAGGGCAGATGGACCGCAAGTTTTCAGTGGTCTACTTGCCAGTCATGCTCTTGACACTGCTCATCATGCTGATTTGGCACAATGAAAGGACTGCGACAGCTCGGGTTTTCTGTGGATTCTCCACATACACTGTGATCATGGCCTTGATGGCCACCCCACTGGTGAGAACATCTTGGTGATGGTCAAGATTCTGGCAGAGTGTGATGAGCCACATTGCATAAATTGCAGGCAAATGTTTCATTATTCATGAATTGGATTGCTTTTATCCTGACAGTCCCAGAAATCTCCACAGCAGTGTGCACCATGGCACAGACGACCTTCGAGCACTGAACAACAAAACAGGCTGCTATGCGCTCCAAAGTGCTGTCGTGACCACTGTCGTTTCGACCTACTTCTACCTCTGCTCCAAAACAGCCCGTTGCATGAATAATGTAACAAAATGCCGCTCGATCCATGAACGTGAGAGAAACACACTTTGATATAGGATTGAGATCCAAAGAGACCAGTAATGCACAAGTTGCAAGTGTCTACCTTTGCAAACTTTCTAGGCCATTTGTTGGTTCATGTTCCTTCATTGTTGCTTTTGTTCTCAGAGCAACATAGAATCTGCACTGGAGCCTACTGTAAAACTTCCTCAGGTCCTGCATGTGCTCTGCTTGTGGCCTATGTGAAATGCTAAACTGGTGCAAGGGCTGATTCAAATAGCTGCTCTACAGATCAGCATGGTCAGCAGAGGTGGTTCCAGTCTGTCTCAGTATGTGCCACTTGGAGCTAGCGCAGTTATTGGAGTTGTTGATGGGTTGGCCGAACCTGCGATTGTCGGAGAGGCAGGATACCTGCCAGAAGTGTACATGCAAGTGAGTGAGGCTGCCAATTGGCTGTCAGTTGTGGTGCAGGGATGGTTTTGAGGAACCAGTAGCACCCAATGCTCTTTGCCATTACTGCTCCTCTTCAAAGCAAACATGACTGCCAAAACATGCACCAATGCTCAATTAGAAAGCATGTCCATGACTCCTTCACAGCATGGGTTTGGAACACCAGCGACAGGAAGTTGTTTATTTTCGGCACTGCCACACTTGTTTCTGCTCTGGATTGCTGTTGCGCCATCTTGTGCAGGTTATTTTTCAGCAGGTGCATTACCAATTTTCGTTGAATGAATCAATGTTTCAGTGGCCTGTGCTCTTTCCTTGGAACTGCTTTCCAAGGTGCACAGGTCTGGAAAGGCGATAGCAGAAATGCCCTTGCACCACCCACTGGCTGCCAGTTCCAGCGTCCAATTTTGTCACTCTTGCCCAAGGTGATCTGCAGGGATGTGTCTTTGGGCTGCAGGGATTTCTATTTGGAACAGCATCTGCAGGCACGATCATATCGCTGCTGCGCATCGCCACAAAGGTTTCTTTTGGGGAGGGCCCAGATGGCCTACAGAACAGCACCATACTGTACTTCAGCCTGGCTTCTGGGCTGTGTGCTGCCTGCCTAATCCTGCACCGTGTAGTGCTTCCCAAACAAATGTTTTTCAGGCACTACCGTGACAGGGAATGTGACAGAGGTGAGCGCCATGACCCCTGCACGTTATGTTGAGAACAGATTGTGCTCAGAGCTGGCTATGGTCAGTAATTATTAGTTCCAGTGTGCATCAGTCCTGAACAAATTGTTCAAGTGCATACTGTCATGGAGTGCATGTTCAGATTAATTTGCCTGTGCTTGTGGGAAGTTTTGTGCAGTACAACAAACTGAATAGAGCTGATGGTTGTCACGCACCAAGGGACACCTGTGCCCTTCTGTCCTGTCATATCTGAAGCACTGAGGTCAAGCGCTCTGGACTCCAGATGCCCCCAACTTACTGGAAGATGGCACCCAACCATTGCTCCCTCAGGTCCAGAACGTAGAGTTTGGTAACTGCGAGGCTTGCCCAAAAATACCGCCAGATGGCTGCCAGGCTGCCGTCCCCAAGAGATGGGTGGACTCCCAGGTGTTGGGTGCTTTATGGAAGATTTGGTGCCTTGCCCTGGGCTTGTTTCTGGTGATGGCAACCACTTTGACGATCTTCCCAGGAGTACCCGCGTCAGATGTTCATGTGAGTGTGTGGGGAAACTTGCAGAACCATCGAAACAGGACAACTAAATAGCAAAATGATGCTGTTTTGAATGCTCGGTGAACATGGCTGTTGTGAATCGAAACCAGTCGCCATGAATTCGAACCACAATTGTGCGATTGCATGACAGGTGGTGAGCCTTGTGCTTGAAGAACTTTGATGTTGATATGTGTGGTACTGCTTTTGAGTAACAGTTTGGAATTGAATTGCTCTGTTGTGCTTGCAGTGGAGCAAATTTGGGGAGTGGTACAACATCGCGCTGATCACCTTTTTCAACATTGGCGACCTCTCTGGGAAGGGCCTTCCCCTGTGGTTGCCCACCATAAGGTCGCAAACACACACACTATTGTGGTGTTTGCTGCGATGCCTGTTTGTGCCAATCTTCTTTGCAGCCGTGCACTTGTTTCCCAACCCACTCTTGATGATAGGCCTGACCCTGGCTCTTGGGATTACGAATGGGTGAGTGTGTCCAGCTAGGAATGCGAATCGGTACCAAAGGCATATCTCTATCTGCCACAATGGGTTTGCTGCTTCTGAACAAACAAGTAACAGTGGTGCAATGTATGTGCCGAATTTCGCGACTATGTGTAGTTGTGTTTTGATTGCATATGCAATAATTAACAAAACATGCGCTTGAACCTTCATGCGGATGGTTGACAAATTTTTGCAGAACCACAAGACATGCACAACAAACCGTGGCAACATGTGTCAACGAGTGGCGCACTGTTTGACTGAGCAGTTTCTGCAAGTTTTGGTGCACTGTAAACGTTCCCAATGGATATGGGCGTTCTCCCTGAGTTTTTGCCACCCCTGATACGGAACCTCACCCATGGCCTGTGAGACCCCAGTTGTGTACGATCATTGACTGCAACCAACAAATGCCGCCGTCTTGCGCTGCAAGAGCTGATTACAGCAAGTCCTCCCTGCGCATGCAAAACCCCACCCTACCCGCCACCTTCATCCACCCACACATCCTGTAGTTCAGGAGTCATGGGTGATCGTGACAATCTGGTTTCGATGCGATTTTGCCATACTCTTTGTTTCAGTGCGATTGCTTCAGAGTGGCGCATGCTTCGGTTAGCAAATCTGTCCTTACCATGGGGCCCAGACACGGGACCGAGAAGTGCCTCATGCGAGGTGCGTTCATAGTGAGCTGCATCTTGAACACGACCATGGCAACTGGGACCTTGATGTGCTGCTGTTGTTGGTTTTTTTGTCCCACGCTCGCATCCACCAATCTCCATTTTCGCGCACCAAATTCGCCTTTATGCCACTGATGAAATGGCCCTAAAAGGAACGGCTGCCATACCACTGTAGTGCTCCATTGCGTGGACACATTTTTGTAGCACTTTATCGCTGGCTAATGCCCGATTGCAAGTCATTATTAAATGGAAAAATGGGCATCAATTGCATCCAATTGGACTGCTTTTGCCCGTGTGTGCAGTCGCGGATGGAACTGCGGGCAGGCTCCTCTACCACGTGAACGCCAACCGCATTCTGTGCATTCAGGTTCCTGCACGCCAACACCTACATGCTGGCACCCCAGGCAGTGGATACGGGCGAGCTGGACGTTGTCGGGAGCATTCTGGTCTTCACCGAATTGCTTGGGCTCAGCGTGGGAGCGATTTTCAGTTGGCTGTGGCTGTGGTTAGAATAGTCGCTTCGGCATGCCTTGGCAAGTGCATGGAATGGAGAATTCGGGTTAAGCCGGGCAGGCAGCCAAAAGTAGATGGCAGTATGCGCCGCACAAGTGCTGCTGCTCCTCCTGTTGGTCTTGGTGTTTCAATTCAGGTGTTGATATGATTCCACCCTATTTGCCTTGCTGTAGAAGGAGCGACATGCAGAGTATCAAGCGCGAAGTCCCTGCACCTCAAGCTGACGCTTGTCCAGCAGCCTGGAGTGAACACGAGACGGGAGTCACCGTGGGAGAGGCAGCACAGCCACGCTCGAAACCCAAGGCAATTGCTCAAAATGTGTTAGGAAGGAATCGATATATTCACTGAAGGCAATGAAGAAACGGCATCTCTCGCCACGCTAACAACATTCCCTGAACACACACACTGCTGGCATGCTTACCTTGTGATGTTGCTGTTCTTAGAAGAGCAATACATTGTTTTCATTGCTGCGACATGGTCCTGGCGTTTTACGCTCGCATACCTGGATACGGAATCTGCCATGTTGGGGTATGCAGATTGGCAACGCGTGCTTCAAGCCAAACAGCACACGATTCGACTCAACGCGCCACACTGGCCCATCCCCGGTCTTATACAACTCAATTTGGCATTGCGCAGTTAAATCCAGCATCCACGCGACACAGCGCAAGCCGATCAGTTAACTGGAAGTTGCCCAAATCCTGTGCAATGACCGCTCGAGGTGGGACCGTAACAATTGCGGAGGCGATCAAGCATGCTATGCAGCCGACAGCACGCTCACAGCGAAGGATCCATCGACCTTCGACCCATGCACAGTCAGCACAGCATTCACAACGCGACATTGGTCGATCGTCGACACCGCACACCCTCGATGCTACTTCAGAGGCAGCTTACAACTGTGGCTCGCACCATATTTCGGTAACTCAAGCTCACATGGGCAAGCGCACTGATCCCAAACTGGATGACTCGCCCAGCCACGACGAGCCGAGCACATCAGCAGCAGACACATCGCTGTGTCACGCACACCTCCAGTCCTTCACCGCAAGCAGCGGCATTTAAAGCTCCGCGCTGCAAGAAGTCTCCCCGGCTGCAGCAGACATGCACTTCCCTGGAAAGGGTATAACGTGCAGGGTTGACTTCATGAGCAGCTGCCCTTATACTGAAGAAAGCTGCATGTACTGTAAGCAGCTGCTTCTTTGTGTGTCAGATGCAGACCAGCGTTGGTGCACCATATCTAATGTGTTTGTGGAACGTGCGCGCAAAATCTGCTCACACGATTCAGGACAGAAGTCCCGTTTGTGAAACGACACATGCCCTTGGCTGCTAGGGGGGTAAAGAGGTCACGTGTTCGGCCCTTTTTTACACCATTTTGGACTGTGGGGCTGACGCATTGATCGAGGTGACTTTCCCTGAATGGGGCGCCGTGATACACAGGAGTATGCTGCATGGACCCTTGCTGGCTGAACTACATTTCTGGTCGTTTAGGCAAAGGCTTGAAATATAAGACGCGAAAATCACGGCGTCATTAACTGGCGGAGTAGTGCCACCTCGTCCCTTGATCTCATCGCCATGTACTAATGCTTCATCTTTGGGCTCAGCCAGAGGCTTCAGGGGCATGCTGAACTTCCCATGGATAAAAACTGCCAAATGCTTATCAATTGCCAGAGTCGTAGCCATACCTACCGCCATGCAGCCCTTACCAAACGTTACGGATTTCATTGAGATATAATTCAATGCTTTGTCCGCAGTTTCCAGCACCGTATTTTCACCCCAGTTGACACAGCGACAGAAGAATAGCAGAGGGGCGTGACCAAATCCATTGTCCCCGGTCCCCCGGCCCCGCCAATCCATGCTAGGTGCATGCCGCCAGGTGATCCGGCCGTCAGACCTGGGACATGCACGTGTGCGTGTGCTGCCAATAACGCTGCTCACACTTGCAGCTGCTGGAATGGATATCTTGCCGTTTCGGATGCACCTGACGATTGTTGTTGAAGCGAGGGCGCCCTCCAGATATAGTGGAATGTTCGGCAAACCACACAATGAGCACCGTTTCACTGGGTGACTCACTTCTGCGATTGGCTCCCAATGGGTATCGACCGTGTGCGCAATGAACGCTGCGTGGGATGGCCCGAGTATGCCACCATTGCTAACTATAAAAAAGGAGAAAACGCTGAGAAACAAAGAGTGAAAACGCCTCTGAATCATTAGGGCTAAAATGGTTTGCGGGTGAGCTTCACCGAGGAATGTGACGGAAGCAGGAGCTGACTGGCTGGAGTCATTCTGTACCTTCGCAAGAATCGTGTCACTGATCAGCTCCCCAGGCTGGTCAGGTCAAAGGCTACTCGGGGTGGTCCTGCACCGTAAGGGGGTAGGCTTGGGGGCAAATCAGGCTCACTGGGCTGCCCTGTGACGCCCTGATCCGTCAGGATCATTCTGGCTGTCGGACCTGAAGAGGAAGGACACGAGGCCTGTCGGTTTGCAAGAAAAACTGGGGTCCATGTGATTGAGAGCTTACAATTCAGACAATGCGTGACCTGAATTGCACTTTTTGCACAGGGTACATGCGAATGAATCAATTATCATTGGCTGGCGCGTACATAAATGGGCATGCACATTAGGTGCATCCTCATCACATGCATGCTTACGTCCCGACATTCCCACAGGAATGCACATGCGTGCTTCAAAGTTAGAGGACAGTAACTGTCCTGACATAAGGGCTGTACTTTTCTTGGGTGAAGCAGTTATGTCAACGATTCCAAAACAAGGGGACTCGCACCTTATCGACCCGTGCGGCACGTGGCAACAACTTTCCCACCACCGCCATGAAGCCTTGTGCAAGTTCGGGTCGTCTGACATTGACAGAAAAGGATGCAGCTGGCTTGGTGTGGCTTCGAAATCATGTCTGACATGATGTGACTGTGTCAGACTGAAAATATGCCTTACCTATTGAAAGACAATAGGAAAAGGATTGGCCCTGGTGGAGAAAAAGAATGGGCTGAGAGCGTTGGTTTATTTCTAGGGGTGGCATGCTGGGGATGCGTGCAGACAGTGGACTTCTATGGTTGTCTCAGACAGGAGTGTCTTGAGGACCTGTCTACGATGAACCGTTGAAGATAGAAAGCGCTGGAAATATCATTCAGAAAGAAGTGGGGAAGTGTGACAGAGGTGTTGCAAGGCTTCGCCAAACAGGCCACCATGCCCTGGAAAGAATGGGCTTGTTTTGATACTAGTTGAGTCCATTCTTTTTCAATTAGGGTGCAGCCGCAGAATGGGTTGTAATTCCCCATTTCCTGACCCCCGTAATCATGTATGGTCCAGTAAATGGACCTGAGGGGGGTCTGCTGTACTTTAGGGTTGAACACTGGGCGAGAGAGCATCAGTGGAATTAATTTATTATGTCGTCATTTGCAGTAGTTTGTGACTGAGGTTGCAGCCGGCCACGGGGTGCCGTGGGTTGCACGTAGGCAGTGAGGGGGGGCCGTGTTGGATGATTTTGCACACGGGGGATTGCATTGATAGAAGGGTAATTCAGTTACCATCAATTTAATGGTCACTATAGTCCAAATGTCAAGAGTGCTTGAGCTCCATCGTTGGATGGAGCTCACCTCGCTTAGACAGGTCATATTCTATTTGGAGCATTTGTTTGATGAAGTGGCCACCTGCGAGGGGATTTCACTTGAACGGGTAGTTAAGCAGGATTTGCCGGGTCTTAGACCTGAGTATTTTCACAGGTTTTAAATGATCCGAGCTGAGATGGGGTTACCAGTAGACAGGTCTACAGTAGGGGCTGGTGATGATAAGGAAGATGGGATGCCTGGCAGCAGCCCGGGGCAAGCCTAGGGGCCAGATCTGCCACACGGACCATACGATCCGTAGGAGTCGGACCTCGATGACGAGTTTGAGAATGGCATCCTTCCCTTTCTGTGAATGGCTGGGAGGAAAAGATGACTTCTTTTATACTGAATTTTGTAGTTCTGTGAAAGAAAACCTGAAAACGCAAACAAAGCTTAGTTGGGAATATGCTGCCTCTGATTGTGTTTGGATTGGGAGTGATTGCATGAGCATGGTCGCTGTGCTGAAGTCATGATTACTGTTGTAATGTAAAGTACCTTGGGCGGGTTTTTGGAATGGAATGATTATTGTGTTATTGTGTTTGGTGACAGCGTTGATAACTGAAAGTCCAGTCAGCTCGGTGGGGGCGGCGCCATGGTTGATGCGGTGAAGACATCCTCACCGTTTCTGGGCTGTGATGTCAGTTGATGCGACTTTTTGCAGTTTGGTTGAAAGTAGCTTGGACCCTTTGGGACCAGGGTGGCCCCTTTGACATGGATTTATGGGACTGCTGGCGGGGCGCGTGTGCCCTCCAGCCCTGGGTTGTCGATTGGTGAGAGTCGGTGACCGGCGATGAGCGCGCGGGCTGGGAGTTCTAAAGATATTGTCGTAAGGGCCCTCGAGCCCACCTTTCGTTGTTGGTTTCTGTGAGCGTTCTGTGTGTGAGGCCAGCGAACTGGCTGAAGGTGCTTGCCCATGCGAAATGGGTCCTCACCGCCGATTCAGACGCTGCAAGGCGCCGTCATAGCAGTATATGCGGACGATCTGGTGCTGATATACCCAGACGGCCATACGATCATAGTACCACGCCGCCGATAGGTGGGCCGATACCAAGGTCCGAAGCGCGAAAGGCCCGCGAGGGGGCAGGTTGGCCTCAAGGGCCGCATATGTCGCTCATTGGCATGCAGATGCCGAAACAGGCAGGGCATGTGAAAAACCAGCGCCGGAGGGGCGGAGCACGGCGATGCGTTGTGATTCTGTCGTGTGCGCCAGAAACTGTAAACCTGTAGTGAAATCTGTCGATTCGTGATTGGATGCTTGACCCGTAGGCATCGGATATCGAATACGGTCGAAAGTCCGTGCGTTGCTGTGCCATTACGGTGCTGATGGCGGGCTCACGCCTGTAGGGACATATGCCAACTATAAGAAAAGAACACGGTGACTCAATCAAAAACGGATTTAAACACTGGTCGTGGTCCTCACCAAAGACGCCACTTCATGTAAGCCAAAGGCGAAGTCGAGGGGGAAGTTGAGGGTTGTTTGCATCGATCTTGAAAAGGGAATGAACATACATTTATGGATGAGTTTATGCCAGTCGCTGCCCGTCAGGCGCAACGGCTTCGTCATGTGCTGTTGACAAAATGACTTCAATGCATTGTGCCCTGTGCTTTTCAAACCACAAGAAAGAGCACAGAAGAACTTACCCCGCTCTGGTGCCATTGTTCAATTCAGACACCTGCAACCTCCTCCAGCGGCTGGGAACCCTTCTGGCGCCCCATGGGTGTCACACACCGATTGCCGAAGTTGGTTCCCAGTGGGCTGACGTGTATCGCCCATCCCTCCCTGCCTTGGCGCCCTCGTCCACACCACTGAGCGACCACAGCCGGATCACAAGCGCCAGGGTGCCTTTCACGCCCGGGGCGCGCACGCTGGCCCCCAGCCCGGCGGGGCCTGTCAGGATGTGGGGAAACCTCGGCGGAAACCTTGGCGGACTGGCCAAACTGGGGGAGAACCTTGGGGAGGCGATCCAGAAGGTCAAGAACGAGGTGGAGCTGTGGGATGAGTCGGTCAGGCGCGGGATGGACATGGCGTCGAGCACAGGTAATCGCGATCCCCCCCACGGCGCCCGTTCTCGCGCTTCGATTCTGGGGCCCTGCGCGTGGGGCTGATTGTGAGCCGAGCGCGTCCAGGGGCGGGAGAAGTACCGCCTGCGGGCGGGGAGTGATTGCCGTGTGCGCTGCGTGGCTGTTCCTTTGGGCCGGCGTGGCCTTGGGCTGAGGCTCGTTTGTGTGCGTGTGCCTGCGTGCCCCATGGCGGGATGGCCAACAGCCAAGGCCGTGGAGAGCTCGCCTGTGAAGCGGGGTGAGGACCGCCGTGCGGGGACAGGACATGACAAGGTCCGCACATCACCGCACGCCGATTCCCTTCAGCCTATTGTTTAGCTGCGCAGAATTTGGCGTCGCAAAGACGAAACAATTCGGCGAATGCAAGTGCCAGGTGCACGTTGGATTGTCGCATGAAAGGAGTTGGTGCATGCTCCCGGCGGGGCTTAGCGAGTGGAAAACTGCCCCCTCCCTACGTGCTTTTGACGTTCCAACGCGCGTGAAGGGGGCCCGTAGCCAGGAAAATGGCTGAGCGACGTTCCACCGTCGGTTCACCTTGCAGATGAGAAGCATTCCAAGAGAAGCTCCAAAGCCCAATGCACACTTGCTGGACGGCGCTAATCCTGGGGAGAACGTGGAGGCCCCGCGCAGCCACTTGGGAACAGCACACAGTCAAGCCCAGCCAGATTCCGGGTCTGACAGGGGAGAGAGGACAATTGCAGAGCCGGGCAGTGTTTGTTCAACAGAGAATGGCAAGCCTGTTCCTGCTGACAAGGCTACCAAACTCTCCCAGCTCACCCAGAGCAGTGCTAGCTCTGAGCAAGCGGATAACGTTGAAAGCACTGCTGCTTCTGTCGATGCTGTCTCGTCGATGCAGCAACAATCAACAAACGCAACCAACGGTGAAGCAGCATTGCCAGTGAACGACGGTTCATCAGGACCTGGCAGCAGCACAGGTGACCAAGAGCCCTCTCCAAAGAGGGCAGAGGCATTCGCGGAACGAGAGGTGGCAAACCCTGATTGTGAGTCGCCTGCAGAATTTGGGGGTGGCGACCCAGCATGTGCCCCCCCATCTGCTGGTGAGTCCGAAGGGAATCCTGCTACCTCGACTGCACCGGGCATCACAAGCAATGGCACGCTCTCAGATGCAGCACAGGAAGAAACTGCTGAAGCGTGTGTGGATGTGGATCCTCCTGCCGACGGGGCCTCAGGGGATGTTCTGGATGCAGAAATATGTATTGGGAACGATGCTGAGGGAAGGGCAGATGGTGAGAGCGGATCAGGCAATGCTGGTGCCAAGTCTGTAGATGCTGCTGAGACTGAAGCTGTGGCTGCCAAAATCCGTGCTCTACAGGCCACCCTGGCAGCCCGTGAAGACCAGTTGGAGCGCCAGGCCCAGCAGATGGCGCACATGCGAGAGGCCCAGGCACAGCTGCAGGTGAGGCCATACTAAGCCTGGCAATGTATATTGACAATTGCCTGATGGCGAAAGCAGTAGTTTTTGCCATACATTGGCACATCAATTTGCCGAAGATTCTTCTCTGACACTTTGCAGGAAGCTCGGGAACAGTTGCATTGTTGTAGAGGCTTGAAGTTTCTGGTTTGCGGCAGAGTGTTGTCATTTTTAGCAAGTTGGCAAGCATTCAATGTATGCCCTTGGAGGACCTATCGTGCACACTTTTTGTTTCAAGGTCCACACTCTGTTGTTGGTGTGATTGCCCTATTGACTTCACAGCTAACGTCAGTTCCTTTGGTGGGTTGGATGCATTGTGTGCATTCACTCGGAGTAAAGGAGTTAAAGAGTGTGCATTTGCTCTGTTTAAAGGTCATAATCGTTAGAATGGGTGATTTTAGTGCTCCCTATGCCCTTGTATCGTTGCTCTTGACTCAGTGGTAACAACCTCAAGCAAGTGCCCTTAGTGCTCTTGGGGCCAGTATAGTGGCAGTCAGAAGTTTTATCTGAAGCAACTGCAGATCTGTGTAAAGCTGAAGAGCAAATGCTCAATTTTCTTTGTTAGAGGTGGGCAGAATCAGCACTTTGCTTTTGTTGCTGACAGGCACAGAATGAGGAACTGGAGTTGCATGCAAAAGAACTCGAGGATGACAGTCTCCAGAAAGAGTTTGAGCAGAGGCTCGGAGCTGCGGAACGCAAGGTCTATGCACTCACGAAGGAAAGGGATGCCCTTAAACGTGGGTCTGGAAAGCTCACAAGCGCGAACGAGCTCTTGAAAGAAAAGGATGACATAATTCAGCAGGTCAGCGGTAGATGTCGCATCCTTGCAACAACACTTCGGACAATCATGATTTGGTCACATCGGCATCCAAAGTCCCATCTTGCCCCTTTTGCTTGCTGCATATTCTGCTCTTAAGTTGTGGTTTCTGAAATGCAAGAAGCTGTTGCCACAATTGCAGGTAATGGAGGAAGGTGAGAAGCTGTCCAAAAAGCAACTTGAGCTTGAGAGTGCACTGAAGAAACGAAGTGCTCGAGTTCGAGAGCTTGAGGCACTGCACGAAAAGCTCAAGGTCCAGCTGTCAAGTGAAGCAGCTCGTTATGAACAAGCCCTCATGGAGAAATCGGATCTTGCTAGAAATTTGCAGCACACGGAGGAGATGCACAAGGCTGACCTTGGCGTGTTGAAGTCCAAGTACCAGACCATGTTGAACGAGGCACACGAGGCTCAGGTAAGTTCAGACACTGGTGATGTTTGTTGCCATACCTGACTGATGCCAGTTGTTCAATAAGTGCGTTAAAATATTTGGACTAATCGCCCCTGGCTCCCCCGGGACCAACTACGTTGTCAAGAGCTGCAGTGTTGAGGTTCCCTCAGGCTAGGTGTTGCTTGCTTGGAAGAGATCTTGCCTTTGGCAATCCTGTGAAACAACCTGCCTCACTCACATAGACAGCACTGGTTTGCAATTGAACACAGCATTCATGCAGGTGTCCATGCTTTTGTGTGATGGTGGGCTCCTTCTGGTGTTTCACTCATTTTGACTTTTTAGTTCTCCAGCATCAAACGCAGCAATGTGACTTGAGCTGCAGGCAATATCTTCCATTGCTCCTGTCGTTGACCTGGTGAATTGTAAAAAGGATTAGAGTATTCAGATGAAGGGCCCACAGCAATTAGTACAAATCTTGACATTGTGTTCAGCTCTTGATGTGAGTTCCATGCACCTGTATGGATACTATTCTGGCTGAGTTTGCAGCAGTAGATCTGCATAAGAGCTTGACTCAGGGCGATAGCGCATATGTGCATACACTTCTGCTAAGATGTTGGCCCGGTGGTAGGTGTTGCTATTGACAAAGACAATAGCGGCTGATTTGCACTTGCCAACGACATGACACTAATCTGTTAAATTTTTTTTCAATGAACAAGGGCACACACTTGTCAGATGTCAGGTGGACAGTCCTGGCTCCTTTCCTGGCATGAGGTTCCAGAATGTACCATCAAAGACTGACGAGCAGGGTGTGGATAATACAATATACCGGGCTTTTTTATGTCAAATCTCAACACTATCTGATTTGCAACAGCACTGACACCACACATGCATCTTGTTGGATCTCAGGCTGCTGCAGAGTCTTCTGCCCGGGCAGCTGCCCAGGAAGGTGCCTCTCACAAACTGCGCGAAGCGGAAGCCCAAGTGCAGACACTCTCAGAGACAACAACAGAGCTGAGGACTGCACTGAACAGGCTACAAATGGAGGCAGAGCTGAAGGAGCACAGATTGAAGGAGGTTAGTCAAAACTTATGCCTGCTTGCTTCATCTCTTTAGCTACAATCTGATGTGTTCTTGTGGGAGGAAGCGAATCTGTGTTTTGAGGGGCCAACTGCAGAATAGGAATTGTAGTGGGGAGTGGTGCTCCGTTGCTCCCGGCAAATTGACACAAAAGGACAGACCCTGTTCCTTGTATTCAGTTCCTTTGTTCGGAATGGCAAAAAGACCGTGGGTCCAATCACTTCTGAACAGTGTCAGATTCTTGGGCTGTTGTGTACACTCCAGTGCACAACCCGTGGAGCCCACATGCCTAGATTGATGGCAGATACATGTGGTGAAGGGAGATGGAGATATTGCCAAGACCTGTATTGTGCATAGAAGATAATGGTATCATCAAAATGAGACCTGTGGATTGGCAGAAATGCAAGTGTAGCTGCAGATGCTGTTCCCTTGCTCATGGCACTGTTGGCTTCGAGGTATGCTGTTTATGTACAGAACAAGAGATCCCCTCACCAGTGGCCAATTCATACACAGGACTTATCTTGTGTTATTCACTGCCTTTGCCCCTGTATGATCTCCAGGAGATAAGCATGCTGGAGTGCCGGTGCCAAGGGGCAGAGACACGGCATGAGGAGCTTGCTGCAAAGTTCCCTGCCGCCACTCAGCCACTACTGCGCGAAATCGAGGCTGCTCGTACAGATGCTGAGACGCAGGCAAAGGTGTGGGCAGAATCAGAGCGATCATTGATGGAGCAGCTTGATCAAGCAGAGGCACAAGCAGCCCTTGCGATGGAGAGAGAGAAATTGGCTTCAGAGAGAGTGCAGGTATCTATCTTACTGTGTGGGTACATGCATAGCAAACTCACTGCCATCTTCTCGTTATTTTGGGACATGCGATGCTGGCACTTGGTGCTGGCAAGGAACCATCGAATTGCCTGTTATGCCATGTTATTCAACTAGCCAGCGGAATCAGAACAGTGTCCGATGCCTTGCAGCAGGATTGCCTGTTGTGGCAGCCTCAACGCATCTTGTGTTCTGCAACACCGCAGCTCGAGTTTCATCAATATCATCAGCGAAAGTCCTCAATACTTATTCTGTTCAATGCATGCCAACCAGGGTATTGTCAGCATAAGCATTTCTTGACAGCGTGTCAGCTGCAAGCATCCAGGGCAGAAATTTCCGGCCCGCAAACCTGCCCCATGTGGCCATTACATTTTCTGGGAGTTGCCTAATTTCGGATGAGACTGACATGAGGTCTAACTGGATCGGCAGTCGCTCCGGCAAGGCCTGTCATCAATGGAAACCTCTCATGAAGACCAGAAGAGGACCATTGATTCGATGACTCACCGAATTGACGAGCTTCAGCAACAAAAGACTGCTGCAGAGTCAGAGGTGCACAGCCTTTCTGAAAAGGTGGAGGACTTGCAAGAACAGATGTCTAAGAGAAGACAAGATGCAAAGGAGGTGCGACTCAACAGTTATCCAATGTTCCGCAGGGATCTCCCTGGGCCTGTGCATCACCTGCACTGGCTGTTTAGTGGCGGACATTGAAATTGTGGGCTACAATGGGTTTGTGCACTACATTGATCCATGCTGTGGCGTCATGTCAATGCATCCATGTAAGGAACAAACAAACAAACACACAAACAAACTGTTTAGGGGTGGGCGAACTGCATTTCCTGCATTGCATGCATCCCACAGGGCTGAAAATTTACTGTGCTGTGTTGAAAATGTCTTGTTCAAATCGAGGCTGCACTTCTCATCTGCTGGAAGCCAGGATTTATCTCGGAACAAAGTTTCCATGTGTAGACATGTGTGCTGCAATGCACATGGAGGTGCCAAGCTCTGTCATGGTCTTTAACTTGCCATTGTCAAAATGCCAGCAAATCTGTCAATGCTGTTAACAATAGTCCACTTGCATGTGACGCAGAGTTGTGGGAGAATTCCTCACTTCTGATGGTGCAACTGGATAATCTGCGCCATGCGTATTGTGGCAATGTCCCACAATGTCTAGAATGCAGATGCAAATAGTTATGTTGGTGCACTTGACTGATTGGCATGCTGGTGTTTCTTGCAGGCTGTGGACAAGTTGAAGTCTGAGTTTGCAGCAGAGCATGCAGCCCGCGCTGCTGCGGAACAAGCTCAAATGGACAGCGCTGAGAGACTGAAGGAGGCGCAAGGGCAGGTAGCAAAGCTGCAGGCCGAAGTGGAAAGGTGCAAGACTCAGGGGAATAGCAGTGGCGATCTTGCGGGAGATGCTGGATCTGCAGGTAGTTCTGCTGTTCGTGGAGGCTGGATCCAGCACAGTGCCTGCTGTCTGGATGGGTGCTCTGCAAAAAGATTGTTTCCCACCATTTGTTGAAGTTGGGGGACCAAACCACCCAAGTGGTGAAGGGTGTTTGTTCAGTACCATTTACGAAAACAGCTGATTCATGCATTGTCAGACTGACCACCATCTTCATTCTGCTGAGTTATAATTTATGTGTGCTGCAGGCAGTGCACCTTCCCAGAAGGGTCAGGGAGTTTCTGATGGTCCTGCACGTCAAATACCTTCTTCCAGCAGCCTGAGTTCCAACGGGGAGAGGGCCTCACGATTGCCCAAAGAATATGGGCTTGAGACACTGGCCCAGCAACTGCGATCGGCAGAGGCAACAAGAGACAGGTGTGACTTCTATTGGTTATTCTGTATGGAAGAATATGATATCGAGTCCTCATGCAGTAAATGCCCAAGAATGCGGCCATTGGGGGCTGCGAGCCCTGTTGTGGCTCCATGTTTTAATTTGGGGGTCCTTCGTTCAGTGAAATCTTTGTGTTGGCACGAGGGCATACTGGTGACTCATACCCAGGCATCTTTTGACAGCTGAAGGGAAATGAAACTGTGTGCATGGATATACTCCACGCAGTTATTTTCAGGTGCAGGAGCAGCGCCTTGTCTGCTTTCAGCGAATGCGTGCATAACATGTAGCCAGGAATTTTGTAGATAGCGAGGAGCCATTCTAATTCAGTGCTAAATCTTGCATGTCTGCTGCCTGACATCAACACTCACTACTAGCTGGCGTCCAATGTCTGCTGTGTAGTAGATGAGATCCAGGCCTTTGGAACCGTTTGCAAATTTTGCAGTGCAATATGGAAACCCAGCATGTTCTAGTGCTAACACTCCCACTTGGTGACGTCTGCTATGTACATTTGGCTATGCAGGACCAAATAAGCACCCCTTTGACGATGTTGGCACGTTGATGCTTCATGCATTCTGTGCATGCAAGTTCGAGAACTGAGCTGTTGAGAACGATGGTAAGCTTTGAATGCTGTGCCCACAGGCTCGCAGAGGAGCTGGTGAGGGAGTCCCAGCGGGCAGAAAGTGCCACCTCTGCACTGATCGACTTGGAGCGGCTCAAGGAGCAGCACAGGGACCTTGAGAGCCGGTATGCCGCAGCAGTCGAGCTCCTCGGCGAGCGGGAGGAGCAGCTGGAGGAACTGAGGGCCGACCTGCAGGATGTGAAGGAACTGTACAAGGAGCAGATAGCCTTCCTGACTGAGCAGGCAGCAATGGCAGAGGGCCACACCTAGGGGCAGGCCGCCTTTTGGTGACCCTGAAATTTTGGGGATTGCTTTCTTTTCTCTGATGGAAATTAGGGAGGAGGGTGGAGCAGATGAAGGGGCAGGTGTTAGGAGCTGAGCTGCTGAGAGGTAACCCGTCCCGGGGCATGCTCGCTGGAGGTTGGGAGGGATTCTTTGGGTGCAATAATGTGGTGTCCCTTAAGTTGGCTCCAGGTGTAATTAATGTCTTCAAAACGGGCGAATTATGCATCTGTGCAGTTGGCTGTGCGTTGCTTACCGATAGGAATGTGTCCATCATTGGTGTATGCAAGTGTCCTTTGCATGAGTGGCTTTGTCAAACTCATGCCTGCTTGGGCACTGGGATAGCACTGACGCTACAGGTGCAGAGATCAGCAGGGCTTGTGTGAAGCACTGGTGCCATCAGCACTTCGAGTCGCCTGACCACCAACCATTCTGTCCGCATTCATCAGTGCATTGTGTCAACAAGCACAGATTTCCGGCATACAACTTGAGTGTGCGTCTGTTTAAAGATTTCCCAGTAATGGCCCAGTTTCACAAATGTTTCTTGCTGACCAATCTGGGGATTCCTTGGTGCCACCGCTGAAAAGAGATTTCAATCACCAGCCAAAGCACTATTGCCAAAGCCACAACTTTGCACTGTCCACATAATGCGCTGCAGTACAAAGCAGCAACAGCATTGCCAGGCTTGACCTCATGCAAACTGCACGGATTTGGTCACATTTAGGGCATGTGGTATCAACGCTCGTTGAAGGCTGTATACGCTTTTCGGTGCAATAGTCTGGGTCCAGCATTTAGAGCCCCAAATGAGGAGCACAGGTTGCTGTGTTGACGCATTTGCTGATTGATATGAGCAGTTGACGGCAACATGAACTGTAGTGCCATCAGCGGATCAAATCAATTCAATTCGAGAAGTGGGGTGTTCAGTAATGCGTCTTTAGCAGAGCATCTTGTGAATGTTGATGGGCTAACTCCCTCAAAACTGCCACAGTACCATGCCGACACTGAGTGGACAACTCTGCCACACACCGGGGAAGAGATGGAAGCGGTGCAATGCTGAGCACCACAAGGACCACTGAAAGATCAGCAGTAAGTCGAGGGAGGGTCGCTGGAAGAAATTGTCTTCGCCGTCGCAACAGCGATATGGATAATAGCACGCGAGTCGCAACATGCTGCCCTCAGCTCCGCGGCAGGACTTTTTCCAGGCGCGATGTGCCACTGCGCAAACCGCGAGCGCATTTTTCTGAGTCGTCACGATGGAGAACTCACCTCTTCCCAAGAATGACAGCATCACAGATCATCGCCGGGGCACATTGGGACTCCTCCAAAACTTCGAAAGACAGCCAACCCGAAGCAGGAAAGCGCGCGGGGGGGGGGGCCGCCAGCAACCTGTCCCGATGACTCACCCCCCTTGGCCCTTCCAATTTCCCCCCAAGGCCGCGCACGTCCCCGACATTCAGCGCATTTCGCGGGGCCTATTGCCACTGGCGCTGGGCATGACCCCGAGACGGTCGCCGCGCCCGCGCGACCAGCGCCCCGACGACCACGGAAGCTGACCGCCGGCCGGCAGACCGGCGCAAGATAATCTCTGAGGGCGCGAGCGCTCCGCGGGGTGGGCTGCCGCTCGGGCGGCCGCCCCCCATGGGCGCCACTGAGGGGCCACAGCCGCAGTCCTCCGCCTCCGGGGGCTCCGTCTTCCGCGAGATTCGCGGCTACTGCGACCAGGACGACGCGCTCATCTCTCTGGAAGCTCCTGCTGGTCTGGAATCCTCTTCTCCGGCCGCCGGGAATCTGGATCCCGGGCCGGGGAGCAGGGGCCCCACGGAGAGTGGGCATGGCGCGAAGCGGGAGGGAGAGGGGAGGATTTGCGAAGCAGAAGAATTTGGGCGTGCCGAGGACAGGAGAGGGGTAGGGGGAAGGAATGGGAGGCATTTGATGCCGGAGGGGGGCAGGCGAAAGGAGGAAGGGGCGGGGGAGCCAGGGTGGGCTGTCGCGACGTCCGGCAGGAGGCGCGACAAGCGGAAGCCCAGGCGGCCGGTGAAGCGCCGCGTGGAGCCGCCGGACTGCGGAGATGAGGGTTTTGATGGGGCGGGAGAGGGGAGGGGGGGCGGAGGTGGGTGCGGGAGGGACGGGCCCGCCAAAAAGAGGGGGCGGGGGGAGGGATGGGGCAGGGGCGGGCAACGGGGTGAAGGGAGGAAGGGGGAGGCGAGGAAGGGGGAGGCGGGGAAGGGGGAGGCGAGGAAGGGGGAGGCGAGGAAGGGGGCTGCGACCCGGGGACCGGGCGGGGGGACGAAGGAGGGGAAGGAGGAGGCGAGGGGATGCGGGCGCGCGGCGGACGCAGGGCGTGATTGCGGAGGCATTGGGGGTCCGGGAGGGAGGTGGGCGATGTCGGGGGCTGGGGAGGTCGCCGGCGGGGATGCCGGGCCGGGGGGGGGCGGCGGACGGAGTGGCAGGTGCTGGGCGGAGCGGCAGACCGTGAAGCCAGTGCTGGTTAATTGTGCGGGGGGCTGGAAGGATGTGGGGGGCGTTTCGCGAGACATTCGCGGCCGCGCGGACCGCAGAACAAATGGCATGGCGGAGAGCGGCGTAGGCATTTGTCCGCACGCTCAGGACGGCTCGAGCTCCCTTGCAGGAGGAGCGACGGGGTGTTCCGTGTCGGGGACGGTGTGGATTGTTCCGGGGCGGCTGGGTGGCGCGGTGTGGCTGAGGACGGCGGCGCAGTGGCAGCACACGGCAAATGGAAGCTGCAGTGCGGCGAGCGGGGCGGCATCTCGAGGCGGCGCCGGACTGAAAAGCGTGGTCGTCGTTCCAGCCGGGGCGACAGCACCCGATATTGCGCAGCTGCTGGACCAGAAGGACAGGACGCCTGCAAATCTGCGGTGCAGAAAGGGAGCGAAAGCCAGCCAGGTTTTGCCTGCGAGGCGCTGGAAAGCTCGAGGAAAGTTCCACAGAGAATGGGGTGGATGAGTGGGCAGCAGACCGAGACTGCAGGCATGCGTCGCTCATCTTCTGTTGCTGATGGTGCTGCCACTGTGCAGCAACAAACTGCTTCAGACATGCGGGAGCCGACTGTGCAGTATTCGTGCGTGAAAATAGAAGCTACCAGCTCTGTTGAGCTTTCGTTTGCTGCATGGAATGAACCGGCACACAGTGCGCTGGCCAGTGTGGAGTTCAAAAGTGTGGAAGATTGCAAAGCAGCCAACGGGTTCCAACAAGGATTGGTCGATGGCAGCCAGGTTCAAGCAGATCCAAACACGATGACACACAATCGCGAGGGTGTGACAGGCAGGCAGGCAGCAGAGCATTCCCATCCACGGAGCAGGGAGGACCCCGCCTCACACAAGGAGCCGGCTTGTAGTCTACCTTCGATCGACAATTCAAAGGAAAACGATCATGGCTGTATTTCTGGACAGGCAAGGCCTAGTGACAAGGAGCACAATATCATAGTAAACACTCCCTTGGAATGCCTGAGTTTGCATGAGCACAGTCACAAGGCTTGCCTTAACGGGGAGACAGCCGTGGAGGTGGACCACACCCAGCGACCAGCTGTGAAAATGGAGGCTGGGCTTGCAGGCGAGCCTGCCAATGTTGCAAGGGAGGACTGTTCTGTACAGCAAAGCCAGGCAAATGGACTTGAAGGGGGAGTTGATGAAAGTCGAACACAGACGACACCTGAGGTGACGATGGAATGCCGCATGGACACAGATCAGATGGCCGTTTGTGACGCTGCAAGTAGCCAATGGGGGAGGAACAACAGTCAGTGCTGCATTGCCAGTCCCAGCAGGGAGGCGGCCACGGGGGTGGACCAGGCCCAGCAACTGGCTGTGGAAGTGGAGGGTGAACTTGTAGGCGGGTCCCTCCCAATTGCAGGACAGGACCGTTCTGCGCAGCAAAGCCACCAAAGCGGACTTGAATTGGGGGTTAATGGAAGTGAAGCACAGGCGACACCTGAGGCGCAGGCAGAGTGCAGCATGTACAAAAATCAGATGGCCCTGCGCGAGGCTGCAAGTACCCAACAGAGAAGGGGCGAAGGTCAGTGCTGCAACACTAGTCCTGTAGGGAAGACAGAGATTCAGTCACCAAGGGAAACAGTGTCCCCGGTAAAGAAGCCAGGACGCAGACCCAAAAGCCGACCCCGTGGAGGCGGGAACAGCAAGGCAAGGCAGAGCCTACTTTCAAGCATGGAGCAGCCTGCAAGTCCAAGCGAGCCAATGGATCAGGACCAAACTGTTGAGCATGTTGTAGCGGCTGGCGGGACTTCCGAAGCGCAAGTGGATGCAGGTCAGCTGTCCCAGGACGCCAAGGGAGGCAGGGCCAGTGAAGGTCAAAAGGTGATGAGCTTGGGCAAGACAGCTGTGGCAACATCGCCATTGAGGAAGAGAAAGCGCAAACGAATACCGGACGAAGAAGGGCAAGCAGGGGTAGCCAATCAGAATGTGGCCAGCTTCAACTTTGCAGCTTGTTCAGTGGGGAGGGCTAGGAAGCCATCCTTCCTGGCAAAGGAAGCTGAGGAAAATCAACGAAAGGTTGATAAATTCTTTGGGATAGCTGGTCGTGGTGGTGCTGCCACTGACAACTCCACAGATGCTAATGGCAACGGTGTAGTGGTTGCAGCTAAGGATCCTGAAGATGATAACGAAATGGTGAGGGAGTTGCCTTGCTGTTAGTCTCCACTGGAAGACTGCCTGTTGCAACGTTTTGGGGTTTCTTTGACTTCTGCACAAACATTTCTGCTGGTGCTTCGGTATGAAGCAATGGCTGAAAGCTGATCGGCTGCTGTTGATTTTGCAGGTTGCCTTGAGGGACGCCAAGCAACGACTGACTTCAGGCATCGATGCATTGCAACAACGCATCATGCACCACAGGGAAGAATTGCAGCGCCTTGAAAAGGAGCTGGAGCATGCCAGTGCAGAGAGGATGAAAATTGCAAACAAGATCCGCAGGAGAGAGGCAAAGGCGCGGTTGGGTCAAGCCATCAACGCCAAGCCCATTGTCATGGTACAAGTGGATATTATTTTGTGGGCTTTTGGGGGTTTGGAAGTTGCCAAGTCGTGTCAAACTCGCCAAGCAGATTACTTCTTTGCAGCTTTAGAAATCTTCTTTTTTTGCTTCCAATCCCTTGCCAACACACACACCCACACACACACATGAATTGTGCACTTGGCCTCCCAGCTTGTATTCGTCCTCTTGAGGGGCTGTGCTTTAGAGGGCACTTGGGAGTGTGCTTGGGTGCCCTTTAGTGTGCGTTGGCTGCTGGCATATGTGTGCCTGTCAGCCTGTGTTCTCCTTCTGCCCATACTGTTTCTTGTATGATAATGAATTTTGAGTTTCCGGGAGCCTGTGTGGCCACCAAGAACTCATTCTGGTCGTTTCTGTCCTGGGTGGTGAACTAGCAGCTCCTCACTATGGCTCTGAGGCAGGAGTGCACTGCCACCCGCAGCACTCACTGGTCCACTGGGTGGACGTTGCAGCAACCTCAGACACCATGACAAGCAATGCAGCCTTGGCTTTTGTTGGAACTGATGGCTAAAGGACCCATCCTCCAGCATGCAATTGTTTGTTGTGCATTTTCATGGCTTTGGCACAGGAGGATACGCTGGCATGGGGCTCTGAGTTGTGCCTTTTAATGGTTCAGTGGACGCATTAGGGTATGGAGAACCCAACTATGTTGTAATGTATGGTGATTGGCCTGTGCACAGGTAGAGGAAGGCACCTTGAAGGGCTGCCACAGGTGCTTTGGCAGACACAAGGCGCGCCCCTGCATGTGTGTGCGTAATGGGAGAGTGTGTGGGCTTTCATTCTGCAACAGGTGAGAATCTGGCATTGTGCCACTCTCGCCCAGTCTGGCTGCTGATATTGACAGCTTCCATTAGTGCACATTGTCGTGCTGATTTCATCGTTTTCTGTTTGTTCCCTATGCAGGTGCTTATTCACACTCAAGGTCTCAAGGAAAACTGCAAAGATCAGATGCCCAAGGTGCACTGGAATTTGCAACTGCAATGCCTGCATTGCTCGGCAACAGAAGCTTAAGAACCTCAAGGAGGTAGGTGGAGTTGATGGATGAAGGGAAGATATATGGTTGATTATGTTTGCCAAATCATGGCAATCACTGTCTTAGTGCTTTGAGCACGACGATCAGCATAGTTCCATCAATTTCATCGCGTGTTGAACAAGATCACTTCCCCATCAATGTGTGGGGAGAGTCTTGGTTGAGCCTAATATGTGGCATTGCCATTGCCCTGCTGGCACTGAAATCGTGGTGCAGAGATCACTGTTCTTGAATCGTCATGGGCTACAAGTTCAAGGGAACACATGCGATGTTGCCCTTTCACCTATTTGTCGATGTGCATAAATCACCCCTCCCGTTGGAGCAGTCATTGCGCCATCTCTGTGGCTTGCCTGTATAAGTGTTGGCCAGTACCTTTGGTGGGCTGCCGTACCTGTGGTGCCTGCAACACTACTGTGAATGCACCTGCAGGTCACATGTCTGTGGTTGTGACAACCGTGGTGACAGGTGGCTACCCAATCTAAGCATGGCAAGGATGCTGTGTTTCGCACAGCATCTGTGTGGACTTTAGCGATCGGTGGATGGAATCTGATTGTGATGTATTGGACTAGAGTGGCTGAAACATGTTGCTGCCAGCGATTTCAAACATTGCGATCAGAAGCTATGTAGCCAGTTGTACTGCTGGCTGGATAGACCATGGCATGCCGAAACACAAGCTCTGTTGCGGGCCTTAAGCTCTCAAGGCCTGAACCCCATGCTACCCATAGCGTGCCGCTTAACACACGGTGAGCCGTTTTCTGAGTGGTTACGTGCAGCAGCTGATGTACAGCATGTCCCCCAGGTGTCCGAGTCTCTGGCCTCTGTTGTTGCCGATTTGGGTGAAGGGCGGGGAGGGCATGATGCAAAGTCACACAGCCCTCCTCGTCCCAGGAAAAAGGCGAAGATAGACACAGTGAAGAAAGAGAACGAGGGCGAAGTCAACGGCTGCACCAATGTCACGCCATCGTCTGAAGAGGCAAAGCCACTGGTGTTGACTAACCCTGAGCTGCATGTGGGCGAATGCTTCAACAAGACGAAGGTGTATGACAAGGTGAAGGCTGACGCTCAGTGTTCTGAAGGGAAGATGTGTGTGAAGTGTTTGGCTTTACGGAGGGGTGCATGAGACAAGTAGTTTATTTTTGTGGTGCTGGTTTTCTTGCACTTGACTCCTTGCTTGCATTGTTTGTGCACTTGAGTCTTGTGGTCAGTGAGACGGCGTTGGATTAGCAGCACATGCTGTGTACTCAAAGTAAGAAAGTAGATAGTGAAGGAAGCAAAAGCTCAACATATAGAAGTTGAACCCCTGATGAGTTGGTAAATGGAATACACTTGTCCTGGCCTTATAAGGCGTTCGTGCTGTGCAAAGGCAGCTGCATTTTCAAATTTTTTGTTGTGGTTTGCCTTATCCAATGTGGCAATTTTGTGCCTTGCCAATCTAATGCAGGGATGTCTGTGTGGTTTATTTTTGTTTGTGTAGTGAACATGCATGCACTTGCCAGGCTTGTGTACTGTACATCCTTTTACCAGAATCTATCATCGCACTGAACAGCTCAGTACCAAACCCAATCCTATCAGAAGTCTTGTGTTATCTTTTCGCGTCATTTAAGGCGATCGTGACAGCAGTACAACAATCCTGATGTGACCCTGACGTTGTCTGTGTGCTTTGTAAACTGCAATGCTTCCATGTGATCTTTGCTCCTTTCATCATCTTTTTGATGATGCTATTCGATGGCAAATGCATGATCTCTGATATAGATAACATTACTGGGGTTCGGATGCAGCTTTTCCGTTTTTGCAACGAGTTGGAGTAAGATTCATATAAATTTGGTGAATCCAATTATTATAGTTTGCACATTTTTTGTTGATTAATAGTCCACACATATGTTAATATATATTGATATTCTAGCCTTAAGTAACTTTTACGTTGAAGGTTTTAGAATCCACTCAGTGCACTGTCCAAGCATACAAAAAGACCAGAAGGACAGTGGTCAACATCGAATCAACCCAACTCAGACATTTGTGTTGAGCTTATGCTGAATTTCATTTTTGAAAAAGAAATTATGTTGAGCTTATCTTGATGTTGTGCCATGGAGCCAATGCCCAATGTGTATGTCTGCTGCTGCTGGCTTCCAGTGCACAAGTCAAAGAAAAGGGCCAACCATCGTTGTGGACTGGTGTGGGCCTATTATTGCCTGCAATGTCCAAGGGCACTGCTGTACCTCATTAAGCCCACGTGCAGCACCACGACTTGAACTGCCTTCCCATCAATGCTTACATTCCACGAGGAGTGAGTCTGTAGCAACGATTGGTGTCTCACAATGCTGTGATGTGGTTCTGCAGGATGGGAATCAGATCAGCAAGTCTTGTCACCAGTGCCAGTACCAGCACATATCCTACCAGTGCCGTTCTGGTGCAAGCAAGACGAGGCACGATATGGAGCCCTGCAAAGTTTCGATTTGCAATAGGTGGGTACTGTTTGGAACTACAAAAAATAGAGAAATTGGGCATCCTTCATACAAGTGGCTTTACTGTGCCACCGTTGCAACTGTTAATCATTTGGATTGGAGTTTGGCACCAAAAGCCGGTGTGCCCCTGTCCCATGCAAGAAAGCCGCCGAGTTGTTCACAGTACTGAATCGCATTTTTTGGGAGGGCAGGACTTCGAACTGAAAACACATAGTTTTTTGATTTCACCAAAATGGAGTTCATAAGGAGTGTGAATCCCTGGATCAGATTTGCAGAAAAGCAGCAGAGCACTGTTCTTGCACCTGCCAGGGTGGCGTTGGTGTCAGTTTGTTACACGCACACATCTATCTGATCAGTGTCATCTTGCAAATCATTCTGTGCATAGAATGTCACTGATCTCCTTAGTCTGTACCTTTAACCACAGCTCAGAATTTCATCATTTGCAGGCCTTTGAGTGGCATTTGCGATCAGCATTGCAAGCCACCAAGCTCCATTAATTGTGCTGAAAGTACATACCTGCATTGGGAACAGGTGCCGGAGAGCTTGGTACACGCATATGACAATCGAAGACTGCATGGAGGCCTGCCCACGCTGCAGGGGTTTCTGCAATTGCAAGCAGTGCCTGAGGAAGGAATCGCACAACAAGTGGACGCCCAAGTTCTCAGCCGCCCAGGAGAGGGAGTTTGCAAAGCACATCATTAGTTATGTCGGCCTGCATGTTAAGGATGTCCTTGATACGTTTGTCCAAGAGGTGAGGCTGCTCCTCTTGCACTCCAGCACAAGGCAAACGCTTGATTTATATTCTTGCAATCTACCACCCCACTCCCACCGACCTGTATGGCTATGTATGCGCTCTGTGCAGTTTGAAAAACCCTGTGCATACCTCTGACACACTCATCGGCAGCAGTGTGAAGAGTGTGGCTGTGCATGATGCACAGTTATGTTCCATCAGAATTGACGAGCACTGCCTGTCCACTGTCTAGATAACCTCGCGCGCTTCTGTAACCTTTGAATTCGTCCCATCAGGGTGTGAATTGCCAGGGTAAGGGCCAGGTTAAGGGCTTGCTGCGTGGGTTCAATTCCTGCGTTGTGCTTATGGGTGCAGTGTACTGGATAGTGCAGTCAGTCTCATGCGGCTGCTCTTGCTGTTTCAGCTGCCCCTTTCCTGAGCATGTGCATCAGGCTTTTACTTTTGAACCAGTTTGTTTGACTACAGTTGTTGGGTGGTCAATGGGTGCCCATTGGTAGTCAAAGGCAGCCGTCACGATGGGGCTGACACATATGACCAAGTTCGAATGGAACAATATGTGCTTCATGCAGCCAGACGGACTGCAGGTTGGTGCAACAACTTCGTTTGTGGCCAGTATACCCTTTCGTTATTTGGTGTTGAAATTGATGGTGATGTTGAGCGTTGTTTCCTTTCATCAGAGTATCGATACCACCCTTTTTCTCCCAAGAAGCGGGCGTTGTCCACATTAGCAATTGTTGATTCTCAAAGTGTTGCTGTTTAGTTTCCCCGCCAAACAACCCCATATACCGCTGATGTGGAACTTGAGTTGCTGATGGGAACACCTATGTTGCCATGCCAAGATGGCAGTGTGTTTCCCTGATAGGGAATCGGGCAGCAGTTTTTTGTAAGCACATTGTTGGAACTTTTAACCTTTTTATTTTGGCTCTTATTAGTACCTATTTGAGCTGTGCTTCCTCTTCTCATGGCATCAGGCAGCTGAGGATGGTGATGTCCCAGAGCGTGTGAAGGGTTTGAAGCTTGAGGCAGAAGCAGCCTTGAGGCTGAACTGCAATATCTGCTCAACATCCATACCAGACTTCCACAGGTGTGTTGGCACTATTGAACATCAGATGATTGGTGCGTTACCCATTGTAGCAGGAGGGTGTGATTGAAGTAAACTGCAGCACATAGCAGCACCGATGGCCCCACGCATTTTGCATTACTTCATTCCAAAGGCCATTCTTCATGTTCATGCATGACTTCCAAGCAAGAAACACTGCCTGTGCCTATCCTGATGGTGTGAATTTGCTGGGCATGTGCTGGTGCTGAGTCCAGTTGTTTTGCGCTAGTCTATGTCCAGTTGCTTTGGCAGGGCCACTCGATGCTTGGGGTTGGTTTCTGTACAATAGCTGAAACCAGATGATGCCAGATGTCTGACCAGATGTTCCTGTACAGTATACTGTCGTATTCCTGTTCGCCCTGCAGCCCTAAATATTTCAAATATTTTAGACTCACCGAAAAAGTGAAGTGGTAAGCTTTCTTGAAGCCACAGAAGAATAGAGGGTATAAAATTCAATTTGTCTCCCCCATGCTGTCCGGTGCTGCTATGGAATGCCTGTGTGTGCCGCAAGTGAGGTGTTGATGTGCATTATCGGAATGTGGGGAGTACCAGCACTTGAGAGATCAGTGTCTGCTTCCAGTTTTGTTTCGTGAACAAGTTGACAGCTGCAAAATCCTTCCTTTGAATGGTGCCAGTGTTGTTTGTGTTTTATGCCACGTTTGCAGTGTACTCAGAATTGTGCTGCTGCACTGAGTTCGAAATTTGAGCCGCTGCAGGACCTGCTCCGTGTGTGGCTACGATCTCTGCATCCAGTGCTGCAGAGAACAGCGCATGCGCAACGAAAGCAGCCAAAAAGTCACCACCATCTGCCCGATATGCTTGGAGCCTCTCAGGCTCCAACGCATCCTTCGGACGCATCCCCTGGACTTGAAGCTCCTGGAAAAGGCGGCAAGGACTGCGGAGAAGTTTGCGCAGCAGAACAGCACCAGGCCGTGTTGGTCGTGGCTCCAAAATCCTCAGGGAAGGAAGTCGAGTGTCAGTTCCCCTCGAGCTGCAACTAACAGAGTGGCTGAGGCGAACGGCTTAAACAGTGAGTGGGCTGACCTAAAAGACGCCCAATGAGTCCAGTGGCCATAACATAGTGTTTTCAAAGTTGTGCGCAGCCCATTCAGGAGAGAAATTGCAACCCTGGCCCTAAGAGAAGAGTTCTGAAGCTTGTGCCACCTTTCAAGGCACCTAGCAGGATTACGAATGCAGTGTTAACAATTACGTCAAGCTGTGGTGTGCATCCATGTCCTCTCTGTAACTGCTCCCTGCTGCTTGCAGCTGATGCACCTTGGTGGGTAAACATTCCTCCAACCAGCCTCCGATTGGCTGCCTGGAAGGAGGGAGACCCACGCAACTACTTGTTCTGTCCCCATGCGGACGATCTAAACCTGGACTCCCCAAACCGGGCGGAAAATGTGCGGATCATCCAGGGATGTTTCCAGAGGGGTGAGCCATTCATAGTTCGTGGTTGCAAGGGCAAGATGAACTGGACACCAGAGGTGGGCAGAGCTTTTGCTGTATGATGTTACATAGTACACATAAGTGTCTGGATGTAGCTTCAATCCCAGCAGTAGAGACATGGCCCTTGTGGACCTTGTCCCGCCTTGTTAGAAAGTGTTGCATGCTGTTTCTTTTGTGGAGCAGATTGCATGTGGTATCAACATGGGGAGCTGTCAGTATTCCATCCTCTTAAGGAAATGTCTTATGTGGATTGTATTCATGCAGATACCGTGGAGAGTAGTATATTGTGTGTATATACTGTACAATAGATACAATACAGCAGCCTTGGTTTCGTGCTCCATTAGAGCTTGGTAGAGTGAACACAGTGTTGATGTGCAATCGTGCAGGCCACCTATTAAAGTCAGATGGGCTTGAAAACCGGCCATGTTCAAGTTGAGCAAGGGCGCAGTGCTTGCTGCACATTGTGCATGTACCCAAAATGACAGGTGCTCTGTGACCGTGTTTGCTGTTCTGCCGATTCGTGTTGCTCTGAATCCCACTTGCCGATGTGCCTTGGGTTCAAGTGCTGCAGCACCAGTAGTGGGAATAAACAGCGATTCTAAGCTGTGCAGACCCTGAAATTGTCAATTATGTTGCCTGGTTGTCCAGCTGATGAACCGCGCCACCCGTGAGGTGGGTGTGCAGAGAAAGAATATCGAGGCCTGCAAAGAGGTGCAGGTCATCGACTGCACCAAGGATTGGGGGACCATGCCAATGTTGCAAAATCATTTCTTCTCTGCATACACCCGAGGTGGGTCAAGGTATCCACCTGCAGCATAGTCCACAATGACCACATTGATCAACACATGAAAAGCACTTCGCTTGATCGTATGTTTCAGCTTGCTTCAAAATACAAGGCAGGGTCTTCACATCTTGTAGGCACCATGATGGGTGCGTAAACATTCTTCATCCCTCGACCTTCCATTTGTCTGGATGCAACCCATGTGCAATGCACACAGACAATGCGCAAAGAACAGAAAGGAACTGAAAGGATTTGCCTCTTCCATAGCAGGAGAACTTCATTCCACCCACAGGGAAGTGTTGCGCATCCCAGAAACTTTAATTCCTTAGCACCCAGAACTTTTCTTGTTTGTGTGTTCGCTCTATCCTGACCTGCAGGAAAATGAGACCAGGTCCCTTGAAGACGTGGGTTCCGATCGACCATGGTGCTAAGGCACTGATTTTGCAACATTGTAGTCAATGGAGCTGCTGCAAGCTGCTTCAACGTGTGGACAATCACGATATATTGTGTGGCCATCCACTAGCACCGGCATGTCTGCGATGGCACTTACGCTGATGGAGGAATTCCCAATAAGGGCATTTCTTTGTCAGAAAGTCTGCCATTAGTCACGATTGCAGTTGTGTTCTTTGTGCCAAGCGTAGCGTATTGTAATACTTTCTCTGTCCCGTATTAATTGTCGTCTCTGACTTTGGGTGATTACTTTTCCATGTCAATGACATCAGTTTCAATGGCATTTCACGCAAAGTTATGCTTGTGAGTCTGGGGTATACTATCAAAACTTCAAGTCAATCCATCGAGTGTTGAGGATTTAGCAGTACTTAATAGCAAGGCTCCTCTGGCCAGAAAACGGCCGTTTTTTGACATTGCGGCAACAACAGTTGTTTTCGCTGCTTTGAGGAGCACACCTTTGCTGGAGCGAAACAATTCTGCCCATTCGAAATTGTGGACATTGTTCAGACTGGAGGCCACCACAGTGCTTGCAAAGAGATACAGCAATAGAAAACTCATATTGAAAGCCTTGATGGTCGAACTCACCATGGCTTACGACAATAATTCAAGCTCGATCCATCAGAGCGGAGCTATGTCCTGGGCCCTGAATTCTGGGCTAGGACGTTTCGGCCTCCATAGTTGTTAGTGCAACCACAGGAGGCCTCCCAATCCCACGACAAAGTGCAAGAGAAGGTGATTGCCAACACCCCTGGGCACTTGATAGGATTAGGTTTTGAGAGAATGGCTAGAAGGGTAAGGTTGTGTCTCTTGAAGTCATCGAGACTCACTAGGCTGCGATGGATTATGTATTGTGCGCATGAATTGGCTGTTAGTGGCCCTTTGTGGATTCTGGGTTGATTTGCGCACGAAAGCCTCTATTCAAGCATCAATCAAGGCAGAATGTCGAACCAAAGCTATGAAACAACCTTGGAGAGATGGCCCATATTGGACCCAACCTGCAATGTCTTGGATCTCAGCCCTTTCCACTCGGCAAAGGTATGTACATCAGAGATTGAGAACATTACGGATTTCTAGCGTCATCGTCGCCGTGACAATGGCAACCTTCGAGGGGGATCCAAGCACAATTGAGTGGGTTTGGCAAGATGTGCACCACGTGTTGGATGCCTCCCTTTGCCACAATAATGGCAATTACTGGTGTTGCCGCTTGCAAGTATGGGAGCAGCCCAGAATTGAAGGGGTCTCCAGGAATGCGGAATCTGAATGAGCTGTCCTGAGACCTTCTTGGAGCAATTTTAGGAGGCTGCTCATAGGGGTGAGGGCTGCCTATTTTTTCCTAAATTGATGGAGACCCAATCTTTCCGATTGAGGTGGAGCGTCAACCATCAACTTGTGTAAAAGACACCACCTACTTATGCCTTTGCTCTGGCAATGTAGCACGTTATGGAAACTAGTTGTGCATGTTTGCTATCATAGATCATGGAGGATAATGTGGGTGGTGTGAAATTACGCAAGTGCTTAGATAGCATCCCTGGCATTATTGAACATGGCCAGAGTGCCGAGCACGGGAAACTGCTCTATAGCACAGGGGGTGCTTTTGTGTGCAATGCATAACGTCTCAAAAGTAGTTCCTTTGTCCGGAATTTTAAGAAACAATTTTTTGCGAGGCCGTATTGTTGTCAAACAATTATTCATATTGCTTGAAGATTTGACCAGGGCACAACACATGATAATGGTAAATGCCCCCCAATTGTTGTAACAAACCGATAAGTATTGTGCCAATTGCACTACTTTGAACCACTGCCTCTTCCACCAGAGTTCGAACTTTCTCATGTTGTTGCTGACCCCACCAAAAATAGGGTCTCAGAGTGGGGCGCCTTCCTGTTGGCCACACGAGGCTTGAAGGGTTGAGCTGCCAACGCCGCTCAGACTCGACGTTGCAATGGCTGGGCGGACAGGATCGAGCAAAGCATGGATCGATCGGCAGTCCAGCCGATGCATTCGGGACTAGCTTGACTGCAATTTGATGCATTTCCAAGAAACTCTGAGCAAACGGATAGGGGAGAAGGCATCGACCCCGCAGTCATAAGGGACATTGTGGCAGAGAGAGGAAACCCTATGGAGAGTTTGCTAAGGAAATCGAACAGAACCCCCAATTCCAACGGACTTTGGTTCGGTGTGTTGCTGAATTGATGGGTTCCAGATAGACAACTCATCACGACTTTTTGCTGCAAAGGAAGGTGGCCAGGCGTGCATTTTGAATCAAGCCTAGCCTAACAACGGAACAAAACCTCCAAAGGCTGCGGTGCGTTGTCAGTCAAGTCCAGCTGATGGCAGAAGCTTCAATTTGGAACCATGCACCAATTGGGTGCGCACCGATGACAAATGGTTGTACGTTTAGATTGACATGAGGTGGGCATGTTTGCTGGAAAATGAACCCAAGCAAGGGGCTCCTACAAACAGGAACAAAAGATTTATGCCCAAGCTTGTTGCGGTAGATCATCCACGATTCGACAAAATTCGATGGCCCGTTGGGCATATGGTTGTCTGTCACCATCAAGAGTGCCCAAAGATCGTCAAAGGATCCGGCCCGCAATGAGCAAATTGTAGAGCCCATCAACGTTGACAATGCAACCTTCTTTACTATGGTGACAACAAAGGTTTTCCCAGCAATGAGAGTTGCATACTACCGCATGAGAACAAGCATCGTGATTCAAATGGATGGAGCAAAGCCCCACATCGCAGCCAGCGTCCAGGATGACTTTTAGTCAGAATACTTTGAGGATGGTTACAAAATGAAGATACAAATGCAGCAACCACAAAATCCAGATTTAAATATTGTTGATCTTGGGCTGTTCCATAGCCTCTAAATGAGGGCGGACGAGGTCAAATGAGGGGGCACCTTAAGGACATCATGGATGCCATCATATCTACCTTAGATTTTTGCGATGCAACCATCCTTGACAAAGTAGGCAGGCCCTCTTTAGCGTCCAAGCAAGTGTCCTTGAGCACAAAGGGAGCAACGACTTTGTTGCCGCACACGAGGGCGGGAGGAACATTGAGCGGACTAACACAATGGTCTAGGCGCATTATGTAAACCGCCGGTCATGGCACAAGGGCGCCGAATTTCGGAGACCTATGAAATGGACAAAATGATCACAATTGGTGGCAAGAAAGGTGGTTCATAGGGGTTGGAGACCTGATCTTTCCTAATCTAACCTTTAATTCGACTTTTTACGATCTCCTCATGTTGTAAATACCCTTTTTAAAATTGTCGCATTTGATGCCAAACACTGAAAATAGTAATGCAATGTTACGTCACTACTGCTATGCTTAACATTGCAGTTTAAATTGGTATGCAATGTGTTGTGTTTGCTGGGTGCCAACATGTATTACAAGTTAGTGTGACAAAACGGGTGGTGTTGCTGGTTTAGCGACATATTGCGGATTGGAAGGGCCACATAAACTAGTGGAGGTGCACATAGGATTGTGGTCCTGTTGTTCTTAAGCCAGCCTTGGTGGTCAATGCAGACGGGGGCGGGGCTTGAGGGAGGTTGTTTTCTTTGATCCATTGTACTCTAGCTGGTAATGCCAACCCTGCCTTCCTCTTGTGTGCAAGCAAGGTGTGTGTGTTTTAAAGTGTTTACAACCTTTTGTCTTGTCCTTGATACAACGGGGGCGTTGCCCAGTGGAGGAGACAAATTGTCTGAAATAGGTTTCATCACATACTACAAAAGTAGCCCTTTGGCAGCTGGCCAGTCGTCTGGTTCTTTGTTTCTTTGGCAGTTTGCCACCACCTTGTGCCAGCAACGTAGAAAGGCATCCAATGTCAAGCCATGGGGCACATCGTGGTGCCAATGCCAACCATGTAGTAGAGCATCCGATGTCAAGTTGTGGGCTGCCAGACCCAGCACAGTTTTTGGGTGTTGTCAATTGGTGTGCTGTCAATCGTTGTCTTTGTCAAAACAGAGAGAAAACGTTGGCGTTTGCACCTTCAGTGCCATGATGGTCACTTCAGCATTTCCGCAGAGGTGCTTTTCCTACAATGCGATTGTCGTGCAAGCGAAGTTGTGCTGAGGCAGACAGTCTTTGTGATGCATGTGAAGTAAGAAATTGGAGTTAGGCAAGTCCATTATGTCATGTGTTTGAGGGAGCAGTGGGCTGCGTTGGTGTGCAGGGCATGAGGCAAGCTATTGGAACGATGGAAAGGATCACATGCTCAAAGTCAAGGATTGGCCTCCGGATGCTCATTTCAGTGAAAAACTCGCCCGTCATGACCAGGTCGGTGAGGATTGCCTCTGACAAAGAGGAAATCATGTCCTACGATTATGGACCTCCAACTGTGCAAGTTAGTACTATACAATGCAATATGATGTTTATCAGTAGAGCAGGAAAAGCAGGCAACACTGTGAACAAAATCGTCAGTCCTGAACTGTCTGACTTCAACAATTAGTACCTCCACATTGCAGCTGCCAGAATAGGATTTACAAACAAAAACCTTGCACCGTGGCAGGTGACTGCAGTGACAGAGATTTCATCATCTGACAAGTGCAAGGTTTGGTGTTCCCCGTTGTTGGTTTCCCAATAGTGCCAAGTGCTGTATTGTCTACCTGTCAACTTTGATAGGGCTCACAATAGTGGACAATGAAACAGACCTGAAGAAACAAGGGTGGCAGGGTCCCTCTTGGTAGGTGCCCAACATAGTTTAACACATACCAGAACACATAGCATCACCATTTTGGCCTATTGCCTAGTTTACACACCGGCCAGGTGGTCATCCTAGAAGGCTTTCTCAATTCCTGTAACCCACCAAGTGGCCCAATGTCCTCAAACAGTACTTATTCGTCACCATACCCAGCCAGTCGCATCACCAACATGACAATGGAATCCATCCATTTGCAGCCTCCTTAGATGAGAAACACCTGCACTGTGCTCATGCTCTTGTGCCGTCCTGGTACCTCACCCTGGTGAAAGAATGCTGCTTTGCCCTTTTCAAAATGTTGCAGAAGTTGAAAAGAAAAGACAGAAAAAGGTTTGGCCTGCAGCGTTGTGCTGAACTGTTTATGGCCTGCCATGAGTGCACATGTGCTGATAGCGCAGCATTCACTGTGCTTGTTGAAGCTGGTCGGCATGGATGTGGCTTGTGGTTTAAGATCGCTCGCGCACAGTGCGCTGAAAGCAAGCCAAACTTTTTTGTGTAGCTTGCAGGCATGAAACAGTACAAAGTGGCAAAGGGGCCCCTTCCCAATGCTGTTGGTGGCAGTTTGCTAATGCTTATGTCACACCTACCCAATCAAGATATCTGCAGATTGCACAGCGTGAGCTGAAAAATTCATTCCTGCTGCACAGCTTGGATGTACTGATTCAGGCCGACGCACTGCCTTTGGGGTTTTGGACTCTGCAGGCTGCACACTGAACATTTTAAACTACAAACAGTGATGATCAGGCAAAGATCAAGGGAGCGAGTGGCATGCTGTTGTTTTTTAGGATATGTATTGTTGAACTATTGGGGAAATAACCTGGAAGTCTATTTTGGTGCAGTGCTTGAGGTACATCGAGGTCCTGTTTGTAACTTTGGAACGAAGTCTGGAAAATGACTGGATAGATCGCTGTGATTTATGTTGAACAGGATTTCAGGGAGATGCTCCCAATGCCAGAGTACACTGACCCCACAGAAGGTCCCCTGAACCTGAGAAAATATCTCCCTGACAGCTGCCTTCCTCCTGACTTGGGACCCAAGACATACATTGCTCTGGGCCGGCTGAAGGAGCACCCTGGCGAGGGTGACAGCGTGACCAAGCTGCACGTCGATTTGTGCGATGCAGTCAACATCTTGTGCCATGCCCAATACAACGATGTGGATGGCAAGAGCGAGAAGGAGAAGATCCATGTCAGAAGCGGAAATGAGCTATGGGACCATGAAACGTGAGGGATCATCGTTGCGAGGCAGTTTTTTTTTGTATTTCATGTGTCAACAAATAGATGAATTGAATAAATATTGTGTTTTGGAAGTTTCCTAGAAATTAATGACAACAAATAACTGGAACTGCTTCTGGTCATAAGACATACCGCAGCCCTTTGTCCCTGCGGGAAGTTGATTGCGAGGGAGCAATTTTTACAACCAAACGGTGTGTACCTGTGATGGTGAACCAGAGGAATAGAAGTTGCAGTCCCTGCTCACACCCTGTAGGATAGTCCTGCACTTTGTCCCTTCCTTATTGTGCATGGTTGCCTGGAAGCACAGCGAACTCGACATGTGCAAAGCCCAGAGCTAGGAAGTTGTGATTTACAAACAATGGAATGCGCCACACACTGTGAAGGCATCGGTGCGATGGAAGGCAGGTGCACAAGCCGATGCTTGCTGCTTTGTCCGTGCTGCTGTACCTGCTGGCATCATGTGCCGATATCATGTCTCTGGCTTCATTTTGCCCATATGTTGTTCCAGGTATGGCTATGCTGGTGCAGTCTGGGACATCGTCCGCCGCGAGGACGTGCCACACCTCCGAGACTACCTGGACAAGAACAGGCACAAGTTTGTGCACCACGGCAAGCCTGTATCTGAGCACGAGAAAGTACTTGATGTGTTGCAGGATCAGATGTTCACTCTAACCCATGCAGACCACGATGCCCTGCGTGAACAGTATGGCGTACACGTGTGGCACTTCGAGCAACATGTGAACGAGGCAGTGTTCATCCCTGTGCGGTGTCCCCACCAAGTGAGGAATTTGAGGAGCTGCATTAAGGTGGGCCTTTGGTGTATATTTTTCCATTAGGAGCTGCTAAGTGGCACACGAGTGCCAGTGCACCTACAGGCCAAGGTTTTGCACTATTCACATTCACGAGTGTTTGTTGGCAAAATCAGTTGTTGCTGAACACTACTTGTGCTACCAGCAGGCTTTGAGTTGCCCATAGTACAGAGAACGGCTGTGCTGGTCCTTATATGGCTTACTGTTTTCAGCTTATGTGTTGTCTTAAAGAACACTGGCTCACCTTTGTCAATACACGGAACAGCAGCAAGGCCTTGCTTTCAGAATGGCGGTGCCCTTAGTCATGGATGCTTCTTTTTTCCCATCGTCTTTGCCCAGGATGTTTTGCCCTATGACTTGCCGCACTCATCACATATTTTGGCAGTGGTGTACTAATACGAGTGTTGAGTGAGCTGCACTGCAGATGTTGTACTGAGCTAGCCTACCAATCACCTTTGCTGAGCTGCCCTTTTATCAGTACCAAGCTGTGCACAACAGGCCGGCTGAGTAAACCTGACACCTGTGCATGGGCAATGTGCAGGTTGCAGTTGATTTTCTGGCGCCTGAGTCCATGGGAGAGTGTCTCACACTCGCCCAGGAGCTCAGAGCAGTTGCCAAGATGCAGCCCATCGAAGACCCAAGCGAGCGCCTTGGGGCTGACAAGTTGCAAGGCTGTGCCATGATGCTGTACGGGGCTTCTGAGGCTGTGAAGCGTTTGTGAGAGGTATTAGTGGGAGGCGTCGTATCAAGGGCAGTGAGGGGGATGTCGTCCTTTCGGGGCACTGGGAACGGGTAGCTAGGAAACGGAATACAGTTTAAAACATAGGTGCTATTGTGTTGGGGCGCTGCTGGCGCTTATTGCGGGTTGTAGCCGGGAGGCATAGCGTTGTATAGTAAGTGTACTGTGCACCTCAAGGGGTGCAGTTTTGTAAGGTTGTGGCAGCATTGATCGTGGTCTTGGAATCTATGGCGATCCCCTGGGTGGGACCGTGTGTTGGTAGGTGCCAGGCTCAGCACCTTTTGCCTGTTTGTGCAACCCTACTACAGACAACAGATACATGGACCTACAGTGCTCGTCCCGCTTCAGAGTCAAAATTCTGCTAAGGGTCGCGAAATACACACGAGACTGGGGAAGGCTCAGGCTGAGTTACAGCCAGTGTCACAGAAGGGATACATCCTTCGTGCTGTGCCTGTGGCAGCGATTCAACACTCCTGGGGACACACGTTCTGCATGTGTGTTGCAAAGTCCTTTGGAAATGGAGAACGCCAAGCACATAGGAGCGACACCTTCCACCAACAACACCAACAAGAAGCAGCATGCAGCATGGCAGCGAAAGCATGCTCCAAAGTTGTCCTTGTCCATTGCTGAACTGCCGCCATGGTGATCTTCTGGATGTTAGGGTGGGTCGCTTGCAGCATGGATCATCAACTTACAACCAGATGCTACGCACATGCCCAAAGCCCCCGGCGAGATGAAACATCCCGGTCAAATTACAATCAGAAACACCATGACACTGCGATCTGTAGGGTTCAGGGCAGTCCTGTCCCCCAAGGGATCCATTGCAACGATCTGACCTTCCGGCTGCTGTCCAGCACGCCCACCCTGGAGCGCAAGTGAGCAAGACAGTGCTCCACAAGATCAATCAACAGCAAAGTGGTAATTTTGTCAATCGAGATGTCCCCTTAGACGGATCAGGCACTCTTCACCGATTGAAGTAAAGGAACGTCGAAGGCCACCTTGGCCTCGACCAACAAGATGTTAGCCCTAACATGGCTCCTCTGGGAGTCAACAAAACGTTGTGGTAACCCAGATTCACCACAGACATGACTCACGCAGAGTCATGTATGGGGTACTTCAAGAGTCTGAACAATCATTCCCAGCATGTGCGTGTCCAGATCCAATGTTGGCAACACTTTCTGCACCTCCTTCCGCCGCTAGAAGCGCGCCGTTGGGACACACGTTTTCCGTCTTTGTTTCCTCACATTCCTTCGGTTTCTCGTGTCAGCACTGTCGATTCTAAGGACAGTGCACATAGCACGTGCGATTTCCTGTGATGGTTTCACCTGGGCGGTTGAAACATCGGTGTCCTCACCAGCTCCTGCGCCACCCCCACGAACTGGCATCTGCTGCGAGACAGCATGGCAAGGCATGATCCCCCTTTTCTTCCATTCTTAAGAGATTTACGGCAGCCCCAAGATGGAACAGAGCAAAAACAATTGGCAGGACCATGGAGTTGGCGTGGGGGGTGAGCGATGTTGTACATTGCCGAATGGGCTCAGTGAATTGTCCCGTAGTCATGGTAGCACTCATGATGTATCAACAGTAGTGTGATATACATAACTACAATGCACCGACACAGTGGTACTGGCATCTCGCTCGCTTCTGCGTCATTCAGGTTCTCCCGCTCTTCCTCAACGCCCTCACGTGGCATCAGCTTCTGGTGAGGCCGCACCCTTCTCGGCCAGATCCTACGTCGAATTGGCGGTGCACAACCGTGAGCACCACTCCGTTCCGGCCCAGCGATTTGCTGATGCCTTGCTCGGATCCCTGGAATCAACCACCTCTCCCAGGACGGCTTCCTAACTGGGAATCGTCCTCCTCGCCTGGAGGCGAGACGTGGAGCTCCACTTCCCCCTGTAGGCCCTCTTAGGCTTGCCAGACCGTGGCACGGTCAAGTGTTGGCTGCTGGACACATCCAGACCTTTGGAACAGCCGACGGCATGCCGCAGAAGGATCACATGCAGACACGGCGCTGAGGATGGATTGGAGCAGCACCAGCAGCAGCAGCAGAGACTCGTGCACGTCCTGCCTGTGTTGATACAAAGCCGGAATGGCCTTGGCGACTCCCATTTACACCGGCACAGCCAATAAACCAATCGCGCGTGAAATGTTTCAGCAGCCGCAGCCCCAACAGGCATACCCGACTCCCTTCCCAACTTGGTTGCAGTGCGCAACGGGCGTGATCCTCTGCTCTGCATATTCCGCACCACATTACTCGTACATGGAAGTTTCCCTGGCATATTCCACTCCCAACAGCTGTCGACCATGGCATATGCAATCTTTGAAATGTAACAATGTCAGAATAGTTTCCGAGCTCCTCCCCTTCCCAATCGACTTGGCTTCCAAAGTTGTCCATGATTTTTGAGGGTGCCTCCACACCGTCCATGTCATTTTGTGATCCAGCTAAAGTCACCTTAAATTTCATTATGCATATCAAGTTCAATCTCCAACACATCTTTCTTTTAACCGTAACTCCTATGGCCCACTTTAACTTCTCAATTTGCAAAATGTAGTCAATCTATGTCCATGCGAGCAGAAGGCCCTTGTGGGCACAGATTGCATACTTTGATGAATATTGAACCATTCAGGACGAAAGCTGCCGAAATTCACCGAAATCAGGCAGCCTCTTTGCCATTGCAATCTATGACTATTTTAGTCAGCTCTTATCGCACTGTCCATCGCGACGCGCTTATGGTGCCATGAAGAGGCATTGGAGAGAGGGCGCCGCTTCTCACCAGGCATTGCCATGACCCTTGGCACTTCCAAATTAGCAGTCCGAGTCCGTCATCGCTTTCATTGCACAAGGGACTGGCTCTGTCCCGTGAAGTTGCAACAATAACAGGATTTTACACTGGGGCGCGGAGGGGGGGGGGCGGCGGCTTATGCTTGTACATCAGGAGCACGACTCTGGGACATGGACATTGCTCTCAGCGGGGGTAGCAGAACTATGTCCCGTGGAGGACATTGACGCGTTCACCATTCTGTGAGGGTATTCTGTGGGACTTGGTGTGGCGGAGGTCTCGGTGAAACATGTACAAACAACATGCAGCGAGTTAGCCACGGCATCCCCTTCAAGCTGCAACAGGAGCGACTTCTGCTATTCTCTGCAAATGTAAACGCGCCATTCAAGCCCCATAATTATCTGTTTGGTTCGCCATGGAGTCCGACATGCGGCTGCATTCATCGGAACAAGAGCCGCCCACAAAGAACTGAAAGGGCCCTGGCGTCCTGTGGGCACACCGGGGCGCATTTCAGGCCGTGTGAATTGTTCCAAGCGTCCCCAACACGCGATGCGCAGCTTGTCCCTATCTCGCTCAAGTCAGAACGTGGGAACATCAGTCAAGGTCCTCAGCGAGAGGGAGATGCGAAAATAATGTTACTGCCTGCAGCAAATCGTTGACTGCTTGCACCAAATCACGTGCGCACTATGTCCTCACCTCAGTTTTAGTTTTAGGTGTAGGTCTGGGTTTAGGGTTAGGGTAGGTTTCGGTTTAGTTTTTAGTTTTTAGGGTTTAGGATTCAGGTTAGGTTAGTCTTGGGGGGAGTTTTGGTGCAAGCAGTCACCGATTTGGTGCAGCCAGTAATTGCATGCCGGAGGTGCGTGGCCGTTTCGTCAGCGCGCGTTCCTGGAACGGGGATGGCCCATGGGAAGCCAGTCCCCGCGCAAGCATGCACAGTACCTTCCGCCGGCCGTTCGTACGGATCACGGCCGGCAACAACCCGCCGGGCCGCGCGGATGAGCCCGGAGAATCGCGGCCCGCGGGCGCGGCACAAACTCGGGCCGGAAGCACGGCACCGGGCGGGCACCAGGCAAAGGCAATCCCCGTCTCACCAGGGCCCCCCTAACTTCGCACCTTCGGCCCAGACGCGACCATGTGACAACGACCCGCCCCCACCCCCCCTCCCCTTGGCAAGGGCCTTGCCCCGCCCCGCCCCGCCCCCCCGGACGGGGTATTTTGCCCCAGCCCCCCCTCCCTTGGCATCATCACGTCTCCCGGTCCCCGTGGCGTCACTCCGCAGGTTCCCCTCGCCAAATCTCAGCGGCTCCGCCCCCAGGGCGGGAAAAGGGGAGGGAGAATTTTGGCTGAGGATTGAGGCCCGCCCCGGCGTGGCGATCCCGGCGGGGGTGCCGACCGGCGCCCCGCGATGCCCGCCTTCCGCCTCTTTGGCCGGCAGTGGTTCATCTCCAGCGACGACCTGCCGCTGCTGGCGCCATGGGGCGCGGCCTTCCACGGCATCTGGGCGGGCGTGCTGCTGTGGGGGGCCTCCGTGGCGCGGCCGGCCGGCTGCGCGGAGGAGGTGGAGATGAACGTGTGCATCTACGGAGTACTGCTGAGCTTCGTGCTTACGGTGGTGTCGGATGTGATGCTGACGCTGGAGGGGCTGAAGGGTGAGTGCTCAAAGGCGGCCGGAGGCGTCACATGGGCATGATTGTCGAAGAAGGGCGGGGGGGATTCGTGTTGGGCGTGCGGGGGCCGGGGGCTCAGGGCCGTGGGGTGGACTGGAGAGGTGGAGGCAGCCCGCGCTGCTCGGAAGGCGGCCGTCGAAGCTGGACTATTTGAACAATTTGGCGGTTAGGGGCGGGATTGACCGCTGCTGAGGGAGGCTCGGATGTTGGCGCTGCGAGGGCTTGGGCGGGAAGCGTAGAGTGGCCGGGCGGGTCTGCGGCCTTTGGCTGGGTTTGGAAGCATGAGGCGATTCCGGTGATAGATTGGCTGACAATGTTCAGCAAGGCGCTTGTGGCGCTAACTGGATGGTTTACAACTTGCGGCAGTGTTCGCGATACTATCTGGATGTCCTGCACCACATGCTGCATGCGCTGTGCGGGCTCACAGCGCAGCACAGCCTTGCTCTTGCATGCCAACATTCCTTGCAGGGAGGAATTTGGAACACGGGAGCCCATGCTGTGGGAAACTGTGCTGCCATTGAGCCGTCAGCGACAACTTTTGCGAAGGCAATTCAACGCTGGCGATACCAACAGGCTTGGACTGCTAGTCACCAATCCTGGAGGGCTATCAGCAGTTGATCTCAGACAAGGCCTTGGCTACAAATCACTTATCTGGCATCAGATTGTGTACTGCAACTGGAATGGCGTGCCAGGGTATTACCTGCTACCTAGGGTATTACCTGCTTACCTTGCTGTTCCTATTGTGGTCAGAGCATTTTTCCACGTATTTTTCGTATTGTCCATGTGACTACATGCTCCCCGAAGTTCGCAATACAAACAAAACGCTCACATGTGGGCCCCCATTGCTTGTCCTGTTTGGCCTGTACTAACATGCAATCCCCCATGTGCCAGGTTCAATCTTTGAGACAGATCTACGCAAAAATGTTGTGCCGCTGATGTACTTCCACGTGGCAAACTTCGTTTTCAAAGTAGTGCTGACAGCATATGCCAGCATCCTTGTCTTTGACGAGGACTCAGACTGCCTGAAAGATGACCACCACCTGAGGCGTGCGATGGAATTCCTTAACATATCGACCTGGGTAGCCATCGGGATTGTTGCAGCCTTCTCACTCCTTGCCTACAGCATATTGCCCACCAATACTGTGATAGGTTGGAAGAAGAGGATAAGGTGAGGGGCTGATCTACTGCATCTTCCTTTCCTGCTATTTTTTCACAACTGCTTGTTCAATTCAGACAGAAAGACAAAGCATCGCGCAGGATGGGCCTATCAGGATGTTCTGTGTGAACCTGTGTGGCTGCACTTGTTCCCCACTTTTGTGCTTTTTTTGTGTGCTGATGAACTTGTGGAGCCTCAGTATTGGTGCCTAGATGCAATAAAACTTGAGATGCTATTCAACTGTAGCTACTGAAATGCTGTTGCCCAGGAGAAGCATCTGCAACTGTGGCAACTGCTCTGCATTGTGGGTGAAAAGTGCTCTGACTGAATTCGCCTCATGGGAAAAGAATGCTGCCATTGCACTGTGCAAGCAATACAGCCTGAAGAAAATTGTGCAGTATCCATGCCTGTCTCATTGTTGCCTTGACGGCAGCTCATCATGGTCTTCCCAATGTCATTCAAGAACGCGGAACAAAACTCATCATGGCTTTCTTGCAAATGACTAGAGGCCATGGTGGCTTGCTTCAGCGCTACTCTTTGGCTTTGTGTGTGTGCTGTAATACTTTCTTGGAGCTGGTGAACCTCTTGATATGCTTGGCCCGCCATTGTGCTTGCAACTTTGGACAAGGGGTTGTCCTGTGTTCCTCTCGTTTCTCGAGCTCCACAATTCTGCGCCATTCTTTTGCAAGATCAAGCCTGCAGGGAGGGCGATTGCTCACTGTTGCAGATATTAACCAGTTTGTTTGAAATGTGAATAATTTCGCATGATATAGGATTTCTCCATTCAAATCTGCTGTTGTTGTGTGTTACAGTATTTTGACCAAGCATGTGCCTGTACACATACGCCCTATGATTGCAGGGATATCTTGACACCCCCACAACACCGCACTGTTTCCTAAATTTCCCACAATGCAGCTTGACATGTGGGTCAAGCCAGGACACTGTACACCTCATGCCATGCATTGATCTTCACAGCATCTTGGAGTTATCAGACAGATGCACTTTTGCCACTGCTGTTGTTGTGTCGCCTATCAGAATGCATCTTATATCTGCATTGAGGCTGGCTGCTTTTCATGCATGTTGATCTCCAAATATGTCTGCAGCCTTGCTTGTCATTGCCACAATAGCGCCACTGTTGTTAACCTTGAACCGAAAGATGTGTGTTTTTCCACCCCCACACAGGTGCCTCAATCTGATGTGCTGCAGTGGGCTCGCTAGAAGTAGTGACATGGAGCGCATTGATGATGACCCCTTGGCCCGTATGGCATGGGTCTTAGCCAGCTTCTTCAACCCCATGGACTTCAGCCCATCAGACCTCGTGGTGGCCATGATTCTGGCAGCCTACAGGCAAGAATCCATCTGTCTGATCATTTTGTGCAGACTGCAACCGGGACCACCACCACCCCTTGCACAAACAAACCAGTGACGAGCATGATTCCGTCTGCATGGTTTGTTTGGTCAATCAAAACGACTAGATATGAAGGTGACAACATGCCCATCAGCTCCTTTGTTCCCCTCAAAAATGCAATGTTCATTGATGGATTGGCAAGCAAAGCATCTTAACAACCAAGCGCTGAGTTGCTGTCCAGTAAAGTTCACTGGTGTCCACCAAGCCCACAGGCAACAAAGCCGTTCCATCCCATAATCCACAGACTAGGCCAACGTGTCACGCGTTTTCCAACGCGAAATTCGCACGAATGTGATCAGAAACATTACAATGACGGTGGAACCGAGTCCTTCACACAACCTGCCATCGCCTTGCTCACCTTCATCCGCCCACTTGCAGGCAGGAGTTCATGCGGCGGGGGGCTGCGGACCCCCGCCACGTCGCCAAGGGCACCACATGGCTCAACATCCGAGAGACGATGGACCGCCAGCCCGTGGTGCCACTCATCAGCGTTGAGGGCATCGGCGAGCAGCCGGACGCGGAGCGGGAGGCGCCCGGCGGCCTCCCCCCGCGGGCCTCCGACGAGGATGTCCCCGCCTGCGACGACTGGCCGGGCTGCCCGCCGCTGTCCGGCAGGTCCTGGGCGGGCGGGGAGTACCCGCGGCGCAGGGCCTCAAGGCACACCGGACGGTCCGCGCTGTTCCGGCGCCATTGCTCGGAGTACGAAGATCAGGGGGTGGAGTTCAGCGGGCGGGCGCCCGTGGGCCTGCGATCCAGCTGGTCGGAGAGCGAGGTGGGCAACGGTCCGGGAGGACTGCGGCCGTCGCCCAGGCACCCCGGTGGCGATCCCCCCCCCTGGGCGCATCTGGCGCTGCTCGGCCATGCCGTGCGCCAGCGCCTGGGCGCCGCCCAATTTCCCCGTGACGGCTCCTTCTCCCAGTGCCTCGAGGCTGACGGCAGGTCGCGGTCCTTCAGCGGGCGGGCGCCCAGCGCGGCCACCTCGGGCGGCTCCCACTCCCAGCGCACGCCCAGGGTGGGGGAGCACGAACCAGGGACGCAGTCCGGGCTGCCCGCCTCCGCCTCCCAGACCACCAAGTCGTCGTCCGCAATCCTGACGCCCCCCCGCCTGCAGACCGTGGCCTCCAGCGCGTCCTTCGGCACGGCCATCACCTGGGGCACCAGCTTCAGCGGCCCTTTCGTGACGCCCCCGCCGGGCCTGAACCCCGCCTCCGGCCGCGCGCCGGACGCCGTCCCCCTCGACGTCCTGGAGCGAGCCGCTCACTACCACCGATACTCGGTGGCCGTCTATGGCGCACTCCTGTACCTGGCGCACAACACACACGCCCGCAAGCCGCTCAACACCGCATGGCGATGCTGCGGCCTGTGCCTGCGCGCCGCGCCGCCGAACGGGCTGAGGCAGGGGCTCACCGCCACGCGCAGCTGGCTCTCGTCGCAGGATTCGTCCCGTTCCTTTGGGCCAGGCGCGATCCGCAACTCCCGCGTGGGGCTGCGCAAGCGCCTGGACGACCAGGCCCTGCTGCAGTACGGCCTGCAGGACGGCGACGTGCTGTGCCGCAGCCACGCCAACTCGCTGGCGGGCGACCTGCCCTACTTCGTGGCCGTGGACCGGCGCTACCGAGCGCTGGTGGTGTCGATCCGGGGCACGCTGAGCCTTGCGGACCTGGTGACAGACTTTCTGATCAAGCCGGAGCCTCTGCAGGCGGGCGAGCTGCAGGAGGTGGGGGAGCTACTGGAGAGCGTGGGGGGCAGCCCGCGGAAGGGGCGGGAGGGTGGGGAGGTGGTCAGCGTGCACAGCGGGATGCTGCAGTGCGCGAGGGCGCTGGTGGGGGACCTGGAGAAGCAGGGCGTGTTGGAGTGCCTGAGGTGCGGTCAGCAAAGGGAGGGGCGGCTGGGTGGGGAAGCCGTGAGGCCGCAGGCCCGGTGTTGGAACAGGGGAGGGCAGGGTGGGGCAAGTGCGTCTTTTGTGTTTCACTGGCAGTTTGCACACACGTCCGAACTGCTATACTTTCGTTCTTGTAGGTTGGCGCTTTTAGGTCTGCGCTTTTGCGCTTCGATAGCTTTGTTGTTTTGCAAATAATGCATTTTCTGTTCACTGCACTGTTTCATTACCCTCCCGCACAGTGCCTTGTTCCTGGCTGTGTGTCTGTGTGTGTGTGCTAAAATACAAGGTGTCTGTCAACAGAGCAGAGGACGCGACCGAGCGGGGCAACCAGCACCCCAATCTTAACCTGGCCGGCTGGGGGCTGGTCATCACCGGCCACAGCTTGGGCGCTGGCGTGGGCTCCCTGGTGGCCCTCCTGTTGCGACGCCGCTATCCCAATGTCACCTGCTGGGCCTTTTCGCCGCCCGGGGGCCTGATGAGCCCTGTGCTTGCTGAAGCTTTGTCACCATTGTGCACATCTTTCGTCTATGGCAAGGACTTGGTTCCCAGGCTGACGGTGGGGACTTTGGAGCGGCTCAGGGATCAAATGGTAGGTAGGGCCATTGGCATGTTGACTACAAAGACACTTGCCACCATATGGGCTTGTGAATTGCCTGTGGGTGCCATTAGGTAACCACTTGCCAGACAGACATTTGTTCAACAAATGATGGCAGGATTTATGCTTTGTTGGGGTTGCTGAATACTTTGCTCAATAGAAATATATTATGGGTGGAGGTATACACTATGATGCTGTGCTCTGGTGGAGTTCGAGTTGATAACAAACAGGACTGGTGCTGCACATTGTCAAAGTATGATCTACTCGAGCACCATGCTGGCAGCACTATTTGTCCTCTGAGCCAGCTGCAGAGTGACTGCGGCATGACTGTTGTCGCTGATGTGCATTGTTCCTTGTTCATGTGCTTGCCAAATTATTACCATTCGTTGCCCTGGCTTGAACCTGAGTCACACAACACGGATTTTGTTGGAACTTCTGTGTCCCTTCCCTCAAATGCATTGCTGTTTGAGCCATGGTTTTGTTCTCTTTAAGTGCCATGGTTTTTGTGATTGGGCAGGTGCAGGCAGTTGTGCAGTGCCAACGCAGCAAAGCGAGCATATTGGTGGGCGGCTTGATAGGTAAAAAATGGGAGGAGGAACAACTGTTTGTCCCAGCTGAAGATGTTCGGCCACAGGCTTTTGTGGCCTTTCAACGATACAAGGCCAGTGTGGAGGTGCGTGTCCATATGCTGTGATGGAGAGCGTTGGATGGCAGACGAAGTTGTAAAATGTTGCCTGTGGATTGCGAAAGGCACTTTGAATGGGATTGCTGCCCAGAGTGAAAAGCTGCCAATGCTGGTTCAGCCTGATGATGGACATTATGGTATCCACATTATGGTCCTTCGTGGTTCTGGAAACTGCAATGTCGGTGCTTTGCCACCAGTTGCCACTGCTATTTAAAAACTGCCATGCCGCCCCAATGCATCACGAATTCCCCCCAAGTGATATGTGGAGTCCATCACCACCAGTTTCAGATGGCTATCCACAACAAAAGCAACAAGATACGTTGCCATGGTGAGTGCGCAACATTAAGGTTACACCACCACCCTCTGGGGAACCTAAGGGAGCCTCGTTGCTGAAATGGGCTGTAATGACGTTAATTCCATCGCTGGTGTCAAGTTGACTCCCCTGTGGTGTTTTCATTCCTCAGAGTGCAGCCGCCCTGGATGGACTGGACCCAGCAAGAAAATTCATCCCCCCTGGGAGGGTCATTTACCTGCGACCATCCAAGTCTCAACGGGCGGATGGCAAAGTGTCCCGCACCTACCAGGCTGTTTGGACGACAGGGCAGGAGCTGGTGAATGAGGGCATCCTCATGTCACCACGGCTCATGTACAACCACATCCCATTCAACTCGTACGACACCCTATTGGAGATCCTCCGTACATTGCGGGAGGAGCAGCTGCAGCTGCACCAGCACGGGCAGGCCGACGACATGGCATAGGATGAGCTTTGGGCAGAGTTGTCACAGCGGAATAGTAAAAGAGGGCGGGGAGAGCGGCATTAGTGAGGATGAGTTAGAAAATTAGTGAACTTGGGGAAGCCTCTTGTCAAAGGAGGCGGCCCACAGGTGCTTGGCTGCTTGCCGCCCGCTGTTACGAAGTGTGGTGCAGAATCGGATGTGCATCACAGTATTTATTGTAGAATATAGTTGTGCCGCAAAGGGATTTGCTTGGAGACGCGGTGCCATAGTTTGTCGGGATATGGCACAAGCCAGCCGGCGGTGCTCAGGGCTGTCGGCTGGTGAACGGAAACGAATATCCTTTGCAAACAAGCGCTGTGTGGACATGCGCAGCGCCCGACGTCGCCTGTTGTGTGCGAGGGCGGCGCTTTGTCATGTGTTTTGTCACGCTAGTAATCGATTTTGATTTCCAGCGCTGGCCAGGATTGCGTCTCTGCCTGTTGCTTTGGACACCGACGGGCGGAGTTCCACGGCATTTCTGCTTGCCAACTTGTGGCGCGGCATCCTCATGCAGCGGGATCACATGCTGACATGCGCATGCCCACCAGACACGCTCAATTGGACGTACGCGGTGCCGTGACAATTGATGGGCAAAGCGCCCAATGTGCGCCTCTTTTGCACGCGCTGACCGCGAGTCGTCAACCGTGGCCCAGCCATTGCGCTTTTGTCACAGTGCCCATGCCAAGCTCAATAAACTCCAATACGAGCATTGAGTCCACCCCAATTCATAGAACCCGAACATTGTAACCGTGAATGGAATAGGCTGTCGTGAGGTTGACCCTCATGTCCTTGTCCGCATATTGAAGCCCAGTGGAGAAAAGTAAACAGCCATGAACTATGGCCTCCAAATAAGAAGTCGAGGCTATGGAAACGGCACCATAAGCGCATGTACCATGATTTAAATAGCAGGGAATGCACTATAGGAAATGCACCAGGTCGAGTTTGCTACGCTTTGCGCATATAACGCCCAGGGAGAGGGTTCCTGAACTGTGACGCTAAAAGATTGCGCAATTGCCACGAAATCTACGTATGCAGAGAACTGGCACAAACCGCTGCTGATGAGCGGCAAACAAGTCAGTACTTATTCCAAAGCCTCCCTTGAAGATTCTTTACCTGCTGTGAAAAGACAATGTAGGGGATGGATGAGGGGAATCTCTGAACAAGGCGTCAAAGTGACGCTGGGCGTACCGAAATCGACACCGTGTCTCCCCTCTTGGACGTCTACGGTCCCCCTCACGGCAGGCCTCCCTTATCGTGTCGTGTGGGGTTGGAGGCCGATGGGCGCCAACCCGGGCGCCCATCGGGTTCACTTGCCGGAAATATGCACTGGACATGTGGGGGTCCCAAAACCGTAGCTTTGCGCCTCGCCCGTCTCACTGGGGGGCAATTTCGGGGCCGCGTTGTACTTGCGTTAGTCTAACGCTAGATACCTTGGAAGGAAGCTGAGGTGGGCGCCAGCGACTAAAATTCTTATTCCCTCGTCCCTGCAACCCCACACTCGGGCGCGGCGCCAGGGACCCAGCAGAGGGCCGGCCCCTATTTAACCCGCCGCGGCCCGCCGCCCCCGCGGCCCGTCGCGTCGCCCGGCAGCAGCCACAATAAAGGGTCGCGAAGCAGGCCATCCCGCCCACGCACAAGCTCGTCGGCTCCTCTGCCGGCCATGTCGCTCGCCTACCAGTGGGCCAAGCGCGCGTGCCAGAGGCAGAACTGGGAAAAGTATGACGGCCAGCTGGAGGTGCGGGTACAGCTGGGCGGGATCGATGAGGAACCGAACGTTTCTGAGAGAGTCGTCCTTACACGCCGGAAGTACGGGGACAGGAAGCTGCGGCTGTTGAGGCGGCAGCTACGGGCGGACGGCTACGCGGCCAACAAGGAGGCCTGGGTGCCGCCGGCGCGCATCGTCCTGGGCATCGAGTCCGCGGGCGACCGGGAATTCCACCGGGTGCTGCGGCGCGTGGGCTGGCTGGTGCCCAGCGCGGCGCCGGGGGACGCCGGGCGGGATGCGGGGCCAGGGGAGCTTTGCATCACTGTCCCGGTGG